AACTGAGGAAAACAAAAATTGAATTTCAAATAGCACCTTGTATATTTTTTGCAATTTTTGATTTCTACTCAAAATTACCGTTCTAACGATGTATCACACTTCGTATTTCAAATTTGATTTGATGGAGAAAACGACAATTGCAATTCCAAATTGAACGAATTGCAGTAGAGGCTATGATATTTTTGTAATCTTGATTTTGACTTCAATAATAATTTCAAATTATTGGAATTGGAATTTCGAAATGGCTGAGATAATCAATTTTGGAACAGGTATACTGGGACACCCGGTATAATGGACACCCTACCCTGCAGGTAATACTGAAATTTTGTTTCATAGATCCACTGAATACTTCCTCGTTGGTATCATTATTTGGCGAATGCAGTAGGGCCAATATGGAAACAGTACAGGAAAATTCGCAGAAACTGAAAGAAAGACCAACAATTCAATTTCCACCTGAAATTTCCCTGAAAGTTGAGAGTATTGGAAGTTCACACGGTGATAATGGAATGTCGGAAAATTGCGGAAACTATTGGGGTTCCTCAGCCGTGGGATACAGTAAAGAACATGATATTACTCCTAATATTTTTGCTAATGGAATTGAGACATACCCTAGAAATCCCCATTTATCAAATATTGCAGAAGAACATAGTGTTATTAATACACCTGCCTTGCGCAATTTCCTTCAACTTTAGTGGACTAATCCCTATACTTGATAGCAAATATTTTACTACTAAAAACATCCTGTTATAAAACATAATTTTTAGGTGTGCATACTGCATTACTATACAGAATAAATACTATGTTCCACCTTATTTTATGTGTCTTATTGTTTTTTTTTTACATTTGATTATGGTGAATTGATTTGTTTGCAAATATATACTGACGATATATACAGGAAAAATTTGATAGGCGATAGTACACGCAAAAATAAGTTCATATTTTCTTTTATAGGTATGGTATGTTTTGGAGCTTAGCTTTCCAGATAACAGGGTGTTGACGTTAGAAATATTATTTGCCTTTTTCCATTATCACCCTGTATAAACTGTCATTGGGCCAAAATTTAGAGTGGTCCAAGAATGACAAATTCTCAAAATTTTGAATGTACTCATAATAATTTGGATTCATATATCAGGTCTTCAGTTTTTTTTTCTCGATTACTAAGCAGGATACGAAAAAACTCATGAAGGAACTCCTATTGAACTTGGAAAATTAGCTATCACCCTCTGGGGCGCTACTGGAATAAAGATGTGCATCTAGCAGGATGAACAGTAGGATCTAATTACGCCAAAAGAGAGATTTTCATATTACAAACTTATATAATAAGTTTAAAGAAAATCAGATGAGGATCCCTAACAACAAAGGGATGTTCTATAATAATTTTCTTGGAAATATTAGTGGGATGCAGTCTGGACCAATGAATTAAAAATTTTTTATTTTCTTTATCAAGACTAACTGAAAACATCGAATGGAACAATAATATTAAAATATAAATGTACATGTAGTTAAGTCCTGTTTTTAAATCTGTTTAGTACATAAATCTTCAGGAGGCTCAATAGCCAATTGAGTAAGATGCGTGCCTGATAAGCCAAAGGTCCCGGGTTCAATCCGTACTCAAACTCGACCTACATTTTTTTTCTTTTGTCGAAGGGATGTCCCTGGGATATCCTTGGGACGTCCTAGGGATATCCTCTCTTCGTACTTGGTACATCCCAGTTAACCACACATGTCTCAGCTCTATCACAAGAGAGATCAGTCAAAGAACTTTGTTTCATCACACCGTTCTGGAACATATGCAACTTGCATCTAAAATATAACATGCTACTGCTACAAATCAGTGTTTCATCACACGTTCTATCAATGTGATAAAATTGAGACACCCTAGGCGTCATCACACAAGAGATCAATCGAAGAACTTTGTTTCATCACACGTTCTATCAACGTGATAAAATTGAGGCATCCCAGGCGTCATCACATAGCAGATCAATTAAAGAACTTTGTTTCATCACACGTTCTATCAACGTGATAAAATTGAGGCATCTCAGGCGTCATCACAAAGGAGATCAATTAAAGAACTTTGTTTCATCACACGTTCTATCAACGTGATAAAATTGAGGCATCCCAGGCGTCATCACAAAGCAGATCAATTAAAGAACTTTGTTTCATCACACGTTTTATCAACGTGATAAAATTGAGGAATCCCAGGCGTCATCACAAAGCAGATCAATTGAAGAACTTTGTTTCATCACACGTTCTATCAACGTGATAAAATTTAGGCATCTCAGGCGTCATCACAAAGGAGATCAATCAAAGAACTTTGTTTCATCACACGTTCTATCAACGTGATAAAATTGAGGCATCCCAGGCGTCATCACAATATAGATCAATTAAAGAAATTTGTGGCATCACATTCCACAACGTTCTGAAATTGAACTGATGCAAATTGCATCCAAAATATAATTCTTGCTTGTATCGTAGGTTTAATAGTGATCATTTGAGTACGTGAAATTCACTGTGGTTGTGGTTAATGTGGTTTAACAATCACGAAGACGAAATGTGCTTTGTGTTTACTGGGCTTTCCTAACCTCACATTAAATGACCAGAACAACAATGATCTGCCATTCACCAAAATCACCAAGATGACTCTTATTGTTTCATTGGGACATTGAAACGAATTTCATTCCAAGTAAGCCACTTGTGTGATTCGAAGCCCTCTGCTGATGTAGTATGATGTCAGTACCTTCCAAGGTAAGTAAGTTTCAGATATGATTTGCCTACCCACATGTCTAGGTGGAATTCATTTCAATTGTATACCAATTAAATTTATAATCATTGAATAATCATTCATAAATCATTGACCACATGAAATAGATATCTGCAAATAGATGATAATGTTTTGGTTCTTTATTCTAGCTAGGTTTGAGGCTATTTTTCAGTTTTTTAAGTACTTGTGATTCTTTGTATCCAACAAAGAAATTCAACTCTGCAATTTTAGTGACAATATTTGTAAATGTATCCTGTGTTTTGTGTCATATTTTTATTATTAATATAGGTATGCTACTATAGTTTGTAGTTTGAAATTGAATTTTTATTCCAGCTGGACTTCAAGAGAGGAAAATCATCAATTTTGATTTCAAAAGCATACTAGGTACAAAAATATACTGAAGAGACCAGGTTTTGATTCCCGTGTAGCGAAGACCAGCTGGTTAGGCCAATCTGAGAGTTTTCACAATAATGACAGGTGAACACTTGTTTTGTATACTTTAATTTGCACTGAAATATTATTTATTCTAGTTGTAGTCAGCTCAACTAAAGATTTTGATCTCAATTTTGATGAAAAAATGGTTATTGGAGAGAACAGTAAAAACAAAACAATGATCTCCCATGAAAATGGATAATAACTTTTCTATGCATCACTTCCAAGAGATGGAATCTGCAGGTAAAAAGGAAATAAATGAAGGAGTTATGGAAGAAAACCATGCTGTGATCATCATGATAACTAGGAACGCCCTGTATATTCTATTTCATATTTTTATTTTACATATATTTTGAGGTTTGTTTAGTAATTTGTCAATGGATTGGAATAAAGTTTACATTTTTACTCCTTTTGTTTCACTGTTTTGAATGCCACTCCATGTGTTTAGGGGTATATTCATGGATTTTTTGATTTCAACATTTGAAAATCCAAGAATATATCCTAAACATTATGGTGTTGCATTCGAAACTGATTCAAATACTGGTGGAACCAGTATACATTTATGGATGATTTGAGATGGAGCTAATGCAGAGCACAGATTTATCAGAAACGTCTCTGGCATGCTCATGGAGAGAGCTATGTAGATACATAGTCATCACTGTGATCTCACAGGAGCATATCTGTTTCAAGTCTGATGTTGCATCACTGATATAAGTCTGTGATTTCATTTGAGGCGGACATTCATCTATGCTATATCTCTGATGGGAACATCTCTGTGATGAAACATGGAACATTTGAAATGCAGCAGGGATAAAGCTGCGGCATGTTTTGGTCAACTGGGATCCCAGGGACGTACCAGAAGGACATCCCTAGGATGCCTCTTTTTGTGGAAAGCGGATGTCCCTGGGACGTACTCGTGTTGTTAGGGATGAGATTTTGAGCTGTCAATAAATAACTTCTTTTAAAACTTCATCACCTTGTTTTCGATAACGAAGCTGTAAAGTATACAAGTTTGCATGGACTTATTTTTTCATTTTTCCTAGTTCTATATTTCGTCTTTAAGATTTTCCTTGAAAAAACCAGTATAATAATAATATATTGTTTTCAATTAGATTTAAAATTTTTGCACTCCCAACAGATTGGAACATAATCCAATCATGCGACCCTTCCAATCCAATCAAATGTTTCATTTTCTATTATGTCAAAAACTCTCAAAACCATTCTAATAAAATTCGAGATAATTATTGGACCTTCATAAATGTGATTTCCTTGGACATTTCTTTGCTATTTATGAGAATTTGAGAAAAAAATATATTTCTACTAAACCATTCTTTTTCTAATATCAAAATCTTCATCATTTTCTGATCATCAGCAATGACTACATTATTTTTTATTCATTCTTTCAATTGATGGATTTGTCAAAATTCATTAAGTTTTATTGAAAACTGTGAATTCGTTTATATAGTAATAAAATATGCTCTCAATTTCAGTATTTTTTAGAATTCAGTAATCCAAAAAGAGCTCTTTTTATCTCTGAAATAATTCCCTATCTGGGTGTTATTATTATTGAACTTGAAACAAGCTTGAAACACAATTTTATAACCTCAAAAGAGCAGTGGCATGCCAAAAAGCCATGTTTCTTCGGACGCCACTGGACTGTTTTAAATAAGGGTTTTCCAAATAACAATGAAAAAGCCATGTTTTACATTAACATTCTGCATGTAGGAAATATTTGGTAAATACCTAGTATGTGCCCTATTTAAGTTACATAAAAACTGAAGAACTTCACAGTAATGAAACAATCAAAGAAATCAAAAAATATATTATTATGAATTGGGAGATAAATATATTGTAAAACTTTTCCAATGGGGGTGATAGTCCTAGTGACAAACCTCAACTATACATATAATGCAATCAACAAAATATCTCAAATATAAAAACACTAATGATAAAATTAATTTAAACAACTAACACTATGAAAAATCAGTCACAAATGCCCCACTTGTGTCTCCTTACATCACAGAGCTTTTCTGTGATATTCAGGGGTAGCATTTTCATAGTCCTGCAAATTGAACAACTGTGCACTGTTTTTAACAAGATATTTGAGAAAATCTTGAACATTTTGTAACAAAAGCTGAATGCTTCTTTCATCTAAAGGTGTATAGGCTAGCATAGGTCCAAGTTTCACAAATAACCTCAAAAGATGGATTGCACCATAGATTTCTGATAGTGGTTTGTCTGGGTAGCTTTGGAGGATTTCAGCATACTGGGGTCTTTCAAATTTGTACAATAATTGGGTGCCCAGCATCACACTGAAATATTCTTTGATTCCTGAAAGAGCAATGGTATGTTCAGATCAAGAGAAAATTGTCAGAACAAAACTTACCTTTAATTATTTCTATAGTTGCTGATTCTTTACTGGAGTTGTTAGACTTAATAGATTTCTTATAAGCTAAATAATTATCTAAAATTTGTTCAACTGTTGTTTTAGCTGGCAAATTGAGTAATTTCCTCTGCCTAGTGATAACATCCCAGTCATCAACCAACCAGGGCTTCAATTCATCAGGAATTTTAACTTTAATTTCAACTTTGCATAAGAATTGATCTTCAGGCTCTACTGTTGGATCCAAGCGGCCTCTCTTTTTTTTAGGAACATCAGAACTTGAGTCTTGACCACTAGAGGGTGTGCTGATTTCCTTCTTTTTCAAAGGTTTTGCTACTTCAGCTACTGGAGTACTAGCTCTGGAGTCTCCATCTTTGACAGATTCAGTTTTGGCATTGATTTTCTTTACAGTCTTCTTGGCTTTGCCAGGTTGAGCAGAGTGTGCCTTCTGTACCTCTTTTTGTCTGGCAACATTTGCTTCATTGTATTTCAGGACTCTGCTTTCAGGAACCCATTCGTCCCAGCTGAAAATAGACTATAGAGAAGGAACATGGGATTTTTCATCACACTCACTTTTTATTCCAGCCAGCATAATGTATGAAATACTTGACTTGCTTTTCTTTGGTTAATGTTGATTTCAAACATTTGGCTTCATATATGAGGGGACCATGAAAGCATAAAACCTTTTCACCTTCACTGAATTTCAGTTTTGGAGGCATATCAGGCTGTCTATAATTCTTTTAAATATATATTTATTATTTAGTTTCTATATTTTTGATAAAAAATAGTTGGAACTTTTCAACAATCAACTTTGAAAGTTTGTTTCAAATAATACTTGACATCTGACTTGACCAAATGACCACCAGACTTGACACTCTTGACAGATTTGACTGACTGACTTGTCTGGCAACTTGGCAAGTCCAGACTCCGGACTACTCCAGCCGTCCAGCCAGACTCCGGAGTCGGGCCCGACAGAACAAATATTAACCATTTTTCCTCGAAGTTAACCACACAAACCGGGTCAACAATAAATTAACCGTGAGTAATATGTGATTATATCCACGAACGTTGATGTCAAATTGGCAATTGACATACACGTTCAGCATGTCAGATGTCAGCATATCATAGCTTTTTTTTCTTGTTGAACCGTGTTCAAGTTCAATTTCGAACGGTTCTCAAGCGTGACTTGAAATTCGTCTCATTCAAGAAAACAGACATACAATTCACCACAACCTGAAATCAATAATGTTTGAATTCATCGAATATCTGTGAGAAGTGTGAAAAAGTCCAGCCAAAGCTGAACACTGTGACTGAACTAAAAAACATCAATAACCTTGACCTTCGACGTTATTCCACTCCTCAACTGAGTCATAGAGGTTCAAACTGTTCATTTAGAAGTTTTTGAACACCGTATTCCTATTACCGTTGGTGTCTCTTGGTGACGTCATAGATCACCCAAGAAAATGCTTGATTTCAAATCGTTTTGAACACAACGAGAAAACACAACTTCATAGATTAGGATTAGAGTGAGATGGAGATCTAATTAGAGTGTAGTTTGTTTTTATGAAAACGTCAGTTAACGTCATTTGAAAGACGGCTGTGTATGGTCTAGTTAATTTTTCAATATTATTATGTCCTAGAAAATCAATTTTCTAATCATGAGGTGGAATGAAAATAATCATTAGTTCAACATTATCAATTATTGTTTTTCTGTTAATAATAAGAGTAAAAAAGTTAGTAAACCGTAACCAACGATGACGTTATGAGTCACTGTCATTGATGAAATATAAGAAAGTGATTGATAATGGATAAATACAAAACAAACAATTATGACTACATATTAAATCTCAAGCAATAGTGCCTTATCATTATATTCTAGGAAATAATATCTCCAAAAGTGAAATAAAATGGACGAAAGAAGAGTCGCTGATTATTTTGTAGTTGCTGGACTGCCTGATGATCCTGAACTCATTGATGAGACAACCCTTTCTGAAGGGGGCAATCTCAAACCTAGTCATGGGCAGGCTCCTATCACAGACATCAGTGTTATTTTCCCTAGTCTAGGAGAGACCAAACCAGATGATTATGAAGTGATCACCAAAACCCCCACAGGTTTGAGTGCAGACCTCAATCATGGCAGTTTACGCACTATTGAATGCTATTTGTGTGTCAGAAGAGGCAGGGATAAACCACCTTTAGTAGATATAGGTACTTACATCTGGAATTTTGTCCAAATCAAAGTAATGATTTTTTGTTTGAAGGTGTTATGTATGAAGGCAAGGAATGGCTCATGGAGGATGCTGAGGTAGTGAAAGAAAGCATTGGAAGAAACATTGCTAATGTGAATAATTCAACCTCTCAAACTTTCATAACATATAGAAGGGGGCAACCTTCCATGCCTTGTAATGCTCTGGTTGTAACAGATGTTTGTGTTGTGATTGCTAGCAAAGGAGAATCACCACCTCATGCATTCTGCTGTATACATAAAAATCTCAACAAGGGGATTGTGGGTAGTGATGTTTTTTTGTGTTACAAGAAGTCCATGAATAGAGCAAAGCTATTGACATATAAACCTGCAGTTCTCTCTAGGTAGGTCAAAAAATCATTATTTTCTACCTATTTAGTGTATCTTGCTTTTTTTAGGTATCCATTGGGAGACATACCAGACTTCCCATTCCCAAATTCTGTGCCTTTATTTTGTCTACCAATGGGAAGTACCTTAGAACTGTGGCCTAGTGAAGCCATGCAGTCCAAGCCAGTTTTCAGTACTTTTGTTTTGACAGTTTCTGATGCAAAACACAAGGTTTATGGTTCAGCAATAACTTTTTATGAAAAATTTCCTGAGGAAAACCTCAATGAGCAACAGATGGAGTTTTCACATAGTGATGATTCAGATTATATCTTGTATGCCAATAAGTCAATTTGCATACTAAGTCATTGGCCATTTTCAGATGATTTTGAAACATGGTTGAGGTGGATACATGTAAGTCTTCATAATCATTATCATGTAGTTCTGGAAGAATATGCATTGAAATCTAGTTCATATTACTGCACCATTTTTCATATGATTCAAAGAAGCATTTCAGTTGATTTATAATTGAAATTGTATAGGCTGCTGACCAGTCAGCAAACTATACTTTTTCACTAGACTCCTGACCACTCAGTGGAATACATTCTTTCTGTATAAAATTGGTCGGCAACCCAAAAAAAAGTATAGAATGGGGACTGGTCAGCAGTCTATACTTATTTTTGAGATTGAGATGCCAACCAGTTGGCAGACTATACTTTTTCTCTAAACTGTTGACCATTCAGTGGAATATATTATTTCTGTTCAAATCGCATGGGGAATAGTTTTTTTTATCATCAGATTTTTGTTTCACTAATCAGTTAGTCTGTTTGGGTTGAGTATACTTCACTTTCTTTTCATATTTTATTGTTTTCTAATCTAGTTATATCTTCCACCATTGTTAGTTCATAAGATTTTCTTGATCAGGTTTTTGTACCACCAATAGGTTATTGTGTTTGCATAAGTATATCTTAATTTTTAAAGTATATGCAAAAAGAAGATTGCTGACTGGTCAGCAGTTTATACACTTCCTTTATAATTTGGAACATGAAGTACATGATCATATTATTCTGGATGGTTCCTAAATTGACTTCCAGACAATGGTTTACAAAATTGTAGACAAACTTCAAAATTCCATATCTGCCAAAGTATTTTTTGAAATAAATATGCATTTTCAATTTGTTTTAATTATGAACACTTGTATATTATATCATTTTTATTATCATAATATGAAGGATGACAGGTGAACTTGGTGAGAATATTCGAATTTCCCGGAATTTCCACTCCAGAAAATTTTCACCACATCACATAATTACAGGAATATAATTATTAATATAATTATTATCATTATTTTTGATGAGAAAATTCGAATTTCCACTCCAGAAAATTCTCACCACAATTACAGGAATATAATTATTATCACCCTGAAATTTTGTGGAAAACTGTGGAAACTTATTTATTTGAGTGATAATATAAAAAATATTGTTTCTTGAAGCTCTTGAACTATTTTTTAATACAAAACTGGTTCTGTTGATTTGGCTGTTAGGGATAGGTGTAATAAAAACTTGAACTAAAAAGATAACCATTGATAATTTTTTGAATTGTGTGCTTCAGACATACATACTAACTTATACTTCATTGTTAATTTAAAGACAGTCAAGAAAAAAGTACCATTCCCTATTTTAAATTTTGAAGAATATTCCAGAGAGAATGTCATCTGGAGGAATTACTAAAATGAATTCTGATTGGTGATGAATCAAAATTTCCGCATGTATCACCATGAAATAGTCATAGTACTTCGTTTTTTTGATATTTCATCAGGTTGCTTTATGAAAAGTCCGAAGTGACACTGTCGCCATATTGATTTCAGAAAAAATATGTCCTGAAACATAGAAAACAAATGTCCACCTGTGGCATGTCATTGAAAATACTTTTATACACAACCATATATGTATTGTTGTCAATGTCATTACTAATGTCATTGAAGGTTGGGAACATTACACACATGTACTTCCCGCCCTCACTTATCTAATATTTTAGGTATGTTCAGAACAAAACAGAGATTTATTAATTTTGATTGAAATATGATGGTTGTAAATAAAATAGTATAGAAACCTCGGTAGAAAGTTTCATTCCTGTCTCGAGATCATAGCTGACCTCGACGCCTGGCGTCTCGGTTACATAACCCAACTAATCTCACGACAGGGATGAATCTCTTCCCAATTGGGTGTGTAATATACTATTTTTTCTATGAAATGGCGACAATGGCGTAAAAAAATCCATTCAAAATTCTCAACCTAGGTATATTTTCGGTGAAACCAGAAGGGAAGAATGGGTTATTTAGCAAGCATTGATCATTTACTAGAAATTTCAAACATGATCCACATTATTTCAGGTTTCAACGATTTCAATTCATTGTTTTGTTGGACTTTAAAGTAATGTACATGTTTACGTTTTCCCTCGTTTTTCCCACAAGACTTGCTGAAAACTTTTTTTTTGTAACTTGGTTAAATGAACATCTACTTATCTATCTGTAATTCACCCTGAATCATCAAATTCGACTAAAACAAAATAAATATATGAATTCGTGGTACCATAGACTATAGCAACAAGTGGGCAGCCACAAGCTATACCTGTCGAACGTCTCATAACCCAACGTCTGTACTGTACGACGTTTCCTTCCCCTCGCCGAGGATACTCCCCCAGATGTCGCCGCAAGTCACTAACAACAAGGTCATTTCGAGAAAAAATTATCGTACCTTGATACACCTTCAATATAGACAAAATGAATAATCATAAATAAATACATCATGGTCATATTGTAGACCATAGCAACAAGTGGACAGCCACAAGCTACACCTGTCGAACTGTCGAACTTTACATAACCCAACTTTTGGACGAAGTTTCTTTCCCCTCGCCGAGAATACTCCTCCAGATGTCGCCGCAAGTCACCAAAGACAGGGTCATTCTAACCAGCCCGAGGACCTGCTCCTGTCTAGAAGCGCGGCGAGCTAGAAGCACTTCCTGATCAATTTGGGTTTGGAAAATTGCCTGCAAGGGCTGCTGCTCATGAATAAAGCTTAAACAACCCTATGTTTATATGAACATGTTGTCTATCATGCATAGATATATCCCTTTTGATGTAGACATAAATTATGAAACACCCCTAATCATCGCATTTGACTAAATTTAATGAATAAATGAATTCACACTTACGTGTTAACCGAGGTGTTAACCATAGCAACAAGTGGGCAGACACTATCGATATCTGACGAACGTTACATAACCCAACTTTTTGACGAAGTTTCTTTCCTTTCTTCGAGAATTATCCTACAGATGACGCCACAAGTTACCAGACAAAGTAACTTCGACCAAAATAAAGCTAAAACGACCCTATGTTTTTATGAACTTTTTGTTGATATTAATCCCCTTCAATATAGTCACAATAAATAATCATAAATAAATAGTTCATGTTCACATTGTAGACCATAGCAACAAGTGGACCAGCCACAAGCTACACCTCTCGAACGTTAAATAACCCAACTTCTGGACGCAGTTTCTTTTATCTCGCCGAGAGTACTCCTCCAAATGTCGCCGGAAGTTTCCAAAGACAGCGTCATTTGGACAGAAATAAAGCTAGAACGAGCGAGCCTATGTTTTCATGAACATTTAGTCTTCTCATGCATAGATGTATCCCCTTCAATACCAACATAATTAATCAAATGAAGACATACATTATTTAATAAATTCATGGTCACGTTGTTGTAGACCATAGCAACAAGTGGACAACCACAACCTATACCTGTCGAACGTTACATAACCCAACTTTTGGACGAAGTTTCATTCCCCTCGCCGAGAATACTCCTCCAGATGTCGCCGCAAGTCACCAAAGACAGGGTCATTCTGACCCAGCCCGAGGATCTGCCCCTGCCAAGAAGCGCGGCGAGCTTCAAGCACTTGCTGATCAATTTGGGGCCGGAAAATTGCCTGCAGGTGCTGCTGCTCATGTTGACCGAGCAGAAGGTGCTGGTTCATTCATTGAGGCCCGATACTTTGACGTCAGTGGCCGAGGCTATATCGACTATGCTGTTTCCGTTCAAGTGGCAGTGTCCGTATATACCGCTTTGTCCTCTCGGTAAGTCTGTGTGAAATAAGTACCTATTTTATGCAACGATTATGTGTAGAAAGCACTGACATACATTCTATCTAGACCACTAGTAGTCATATCTCAGCAACCCGAAAATCTAGAATTGCTCGCCTGAAAACGCTTCTGCTCAATACGCATGATCCCCCAGACTGTCATTCATGACAGCGAGTAATGTTTCTTGTTGTTCCGAAACATAAGCAAGAGTGAATAAGATATATGACAGGCCCTTCTTATGGAATCAGCGGTCTAGATTGTACTGTATGTACAAATAATAATAAAATTCCAAATTGTTTTTTTTTTAATATTCCAACATCGGCAGTCCATCAATGGGCTTATATCACAAAAAATTTTTGTTTCAAAATTCGATAGAACTCACCCAAACTAGCTCACCACCGCAAACCGTTTCTTGCTGTGAGCTCCCTACGTTTTATAAAAAATTATTGAAATCCCCGATTTTTCGGACCTGTGAAAACGAGGCGATGATATGACGTCAAAACCCTGATACTGAAACAAGACTATTCCAGACATACATAATTTCTGACAGAGTGAATTATCGCGAGATCAGAGTTGAAAGAATTAATATATCAGTTGCCTCTGTCTCCGGCGGGCGTTTGGTATTTTCTTTTAACTATGGCGAGATGAGGTTTCTACGTCATAAGAGGGTCCGTTTTCAGAAGGTACTATTATTTATGTTCAAAAATAAAACAATCCAGTTAATTTTTCGATCGAATTATGTCGTCAATCATTATTTATGTATAAAAGGATCATTATAAACATGGTTTGAGTTGAAAATTCTACTAAGGTGTACACGCCCATTGCATGTACTCTTGACGCGTCGTGACGAAATTTGCTTCAAATATCAATGTTAATGAATAAAAAACCTTAATACCTTTCAATTGCAACAGAATTTCAAGTAGGAATTGTAACAAGTGCCCAAACATGCTCGAAATGTTCACCGTTCACTTATTGACACGAAAAAATCGGTTTTGGAATTCAATCCGAACGTGATTTACTGTTTCCGAGGTGCATTTCAAACGCTTGTCATTTTGAACCGATTTGCACAAACAAAGCGGAGTTGGATAGTGAATCGAAAGGCCTTCAAAACAAGGTACCACGTGACCACTTTATATTTGAATAAAGTTGATGGTGCCCATTTGACACTAGGTCACGTGACCACAACCATTTTCACGCCAAATAGTAGTGAAAGAGGTACCTTTTTGCCTGAATCTCGCTAGCTTGTTCCGTTCAAAGGTTAAAGGGGGTAGGTCTTTTTACGTCCTCAATGTATACAGTCTGTCCAAGATAAGGTTGAACAGCATGGGGATCTCGGAAACGGTAGGAGATACGAAGTCGCTTAAATTGGGAAAAAGTTGCGCATTCGGAGGCTCATATCAAGAGCCTTCGAAAATTTTGAAAATTATTTTTAGTTTTTGAGTTATATCGAAGAAAGTGAATTTTTGGAATTTCTATTTTATTTTTTTTCTCCGTTATTATCAGAGATACAGAAAAACTGAAAATACTTTTTCATTGCAACTTTTGATGAGGTTTAACGTGGTGATACCGATTTTTTTATGCGACGTTTCGTATTCGTGGAACCATCATCAACTTTTGTTTTTTAAATACGGTCCTGATAATTTTTTCACAGATTCTGAAAGGTTGTTTTATTCTGAATTCAACAATGTACTATACAAGGTGATTCGAATGTGTTTCGACCTATTTCTATCCATCATCAATGTTTTTTCGAACTTCCAAAAGAAAAAAAAGCCATCAGTTCTACTTATTTCTTATCATTTAGTGTCAAACTTGATGGATTAGTTATTCAATACTGAAAAGTGAATAAAAAATATTTCACTACATCATTCGATCAATGCAGCGTTTAAAATTGTTGATGAATTCTTACACGAATTACTTTAACAACTTAACTTTGACAATACCTACAGAGACATTCATAACAAATGTTCAAAATGATAACCATTATTTTCTGAACAAAGATATCCTCTTCTCACAGTTTTTCTAAGACATTGCTAAGCATTTCTGGGGTTATTCTATTGAATGCTTCGAAGACACTGTCCCTTAGTTCTTCTTCATCCTCAAAGTTATTTGCGTGTACAAAGTTCGATATATCCCCTAAGAAAAAATCCAGCTGTGTTAAATCAGGCGAACGCGCCGGCCAAGGGATAAAAACGCACGGACTTCTCTGGAATAATGTACCGGAGCGCCATCTTGTTGAAACCAACAGAGTTCTGAACTTCCGCAATCGGTAAATCATCCAGAGCTTCCTCAAGATGATTCTCAAGCGAATTTCTATAACGTTCGGAAGTCTGTGTTTCATGGTAAATAGAAGGAACAATAATTCGTGTACCAAATATTGCAACCCACATATTAAAGCCGAAACGGTGTTGGTGTCTCGCTGTAATGTATAAATGTTCATTTTCTCGTGAACAATAATGTGTATTTTTTCTATCGAAGCTACCATGATTAGTGACCATGCTTTCATCAGTCCAGATGATAGTTCGAAAGAAATCTGCAAAATTTTAACATTTCCTGGTATACCACTCACAGAATGTCTTGCGCCTTTCGTCATCGCCTGGTTTTAGCGCTTGACATATTCTGAATTTGTATGGATGGAATTTTTGTTTCCGCAAAATGAAATGGGGTGTTGATTGAAACCAGTTGATGAGGTATTAGTGTGTTGACTAATTTTCCTTCAAAATAAGTGGAACTGATGGCATTTTTCCTTTGGAGTTTCGAAAAAACATTGATGATGGCCAAAAATAGGTCGAAACACAAATGAACCACCTTGTATAATACATGGTTGAATTCAGAATAAAAAAAACCTTTCAGAATCTGTGGAAGAATTATCAGGGCCGTATTTAAAAAACAAAAGTTGATGATGGGTCTACGAATACGAAACGTAGCATAGAAAAATCGGTATCACCACGTTGACCGTCATCAAAAGTATTCTCAGTTTTGCTGTATCTCTAATAATAACGGAGAAAAAAAATAAAATAGAAATTCCAAAAATTCACTTTTTTCGATATAACTCAAAAACTAAAAATAATTTTCAAAATTTTCGAAGGCTCTTGATATGAGCCTCCGAATGCGCAACTTTTTCCCCATTTAACCGATTTCGTATCACTTACCGTTTTCGAGATCCCCATGCTGTTCAACCTTATCTTGGACAGACTGTATATTCTATCGCGAATAAAAACAGTTTAATTTCTTGATATAGGTACCTAATAAAGAAAGTCAGTGAATATTTATTTCATTTTCAGGCCTTGTCGAAGTCTTACACGCCCCACTACCATTTCTCATTGGCGTAGATTCGCGTTTCTTTGACTTGTACGACCCACCGCCAGATGTCAGCTGCATCGATCTGGACACGAACATAATAACCGTAATGATTGAAGTTTCTCATAAAAAAAATATTCTTTCTGATTCGAATGTAATTATTCTAGGTGGCAGAGACGCAGAGGCAGAATTTGAACATCAAGCTGTTGCCCAAGAAGGCTGCGAAGATGTTAAAGTCCTCATTGGATTACCTTTACTACCAACTGAGGAATAACCCTGTACATACTCGAGAAACGGATCCTTCGAAGGACGATAATATAGAACTCGAATTCAAGAGAAGGAAGAAGGAGGTAGGTTCCTATTTTCTTTAATTGTCAAATATTTAACCAACAAAAAAATGACAGTTATCGCATTCTAAATGACGAATTATGCTTGAATCAGTTCAGGTCCTCATGATATCCTAATGGAGTTCCATTCTCAAAGTTGTAATTTTACAATGCTTCTTTGTGTCTGATACTAGAAAATGCTGTTTCAGAGGTGAACAAGTCATTGCTTGTATTATTGAATTCATAAGGTTCAAGAGATATCCCCCCCGTATTTGTAGCAATATATCACCCCGTATTTTTCTATCACGATTTCCGACTGAATCATGAACTGATACATTTTTTTATATTACATAACATACCGGTAGCGACGAGAAATGTGAATCAGTCAGCAGTTGTTTGTGAATAGGGTATGCATACACTTTATGCACTGTCGGGCGTAATTATTACTTACAAGACATACTATCTGAAAGTGCAGCTACCTGTGTGGACACCATTTTGGTAAAACTGCGTTTATCATGGGATATGTATTACGTATTTTTGTCTGAACAACATGAATGAAAATGTGAACAAACCATTATTTATTAGGATATTTCACTACAAAGTTACAAATTTCACCTTCTTTTCCGCCTTTCTTCTGGATCGCATTTAGAACAATTTACCCTTCTTTTTTCATCATTGGACAATTTATATCTTATCACAATGTACGACACATTTTTTTCTATTATATGAGTCAACTAGAAATATAATTTTCTTGTGGTTCATCCATATTTATATCATTCAAAATAATGGCGTGTATAATGTCATTCAAAAGCAATCTGTTGACATTTAACATTTTGTATTTGAATTGACTATTGATTAAATGGCCGTCATCTGGTATATAGCGAGGAAAGCAATTGTTTTCTATTGAATAAACCGAAAAAGAATTAATATTTTTTTTCTGTGACGGGAAAAAAGTTTGGCATTTCATCTCTGTTGGCAGGTTATAAAACGTCACTTTTCATAAATTACTTTTTCCCGTGGGAAAAAAGTAGGTACTCTTTTCCCGGATATATATCACATATTTGATGGGTTTTGTTGTGCTATAGTTCCGAAAAATGAGTCAATAATACCGTCTCCGAGAAAGAACTGCAAGTCCTTTTATCTTCCATTCGACTCCGCGGTTACGTATATTACTAAACAACCACCAAATTCGCAATTTTTTTAAATCAAATCACAGAATCAGACTGACAGAAGTGACATCAGATATTTGATTACTTCAAAAGAATGATAAAGATACCTACAACGCAGGTGTCCCTACTGTTAAAAACTTAAAATTTCACGTCGATAATTTTCAGATTTCAAAATAATGTAATATCTTCTCAATATTGATTCGTCTTTTCTTCTGTCACAGAAAAAAATAGATACTCGGGAAAAATATTAGATTTTAGCTCACGGTTTTTTGTCTCCCTCCGCTACGCGTCGGGAGACAACACAACCTGGAGCTAAAATCTACTACTTTTTTCCCTTGTATAATAAATAACTATTGTATGATGAATATCAATTATTCATTCATTCAAAAACTTTATGCAATCATTTGTTGTATAGCTACACATGAACACTGCTGAGATACCCTTACTTCAATGATTTTTAGCAAGCTCAAGAGTTGGAGATACAGGAAACCTTCCTCAAATTCATGGTACTGACTCTGAAAGGCTACAGATCGTATCTTCTGCCGATAACCAAGGCCCCTACGGTAGGCACCACCGATCCGCAAGCCTTGTTCCAGCTGACCGACTTTCTCAAAAGTAGGGACAAGGCGAATCACAGGTTCTTCACTTTGCTGATGAAAACTCAAATGTTTATTAGGTAAGAAGTCAGTACAGAGTACAGGTAATATATAAAATATGTTTTTCTATGGCTATAACACAAAATTGCTCTTGTTATACTACGCTATACATAGTGGAGTATACTACGGCCTTTCCAAAAATGCTATCTCGGAAACTAAGCGAGATAGAGGCATAGTTACTTTGGAGAAGATGATCCCCATCGAATTTTGAGCAACTTTGGTTTTTGTGTGTGGTCTGTCTGTCTGTACTCTGTGGTAATCATAAATCGATATATCTCCGGAACCCTTTGACATATCGACTTGAAATTTTGCCATCTTATTGTACTCAAAACAATATTATGTCATTAAAATATTAAGGAAATCGGAAAACTCTAAGGTAGTTTTTCCGGGTTTTTTCGAATTTTCACCGGAAGTTTCTTGTGACCACTCTACAAATCGCAAAAGTGGTCCGATCGATTTCATTTTTTGTGAAAAAAACTCTTATCAGGGAGAGACGAAGCTTATTGAAATTGAGCAGGGTTGGGCAATTCCAAGTTGGTTTTTCAAGGAGATTTTCCGAAACACACGGTTCGCTTTAAAACGACATATCTCCTGAACCAATAGACTGAATTCAAATTTGAAAAATGCACCGTATGCCTCTTTGATGACGCAACAAATTATTATATTACAATTTTTTCGTGCATCCATCGGAAAATGGAAAAACAAATGAAAATCAAAACATCAAAATTTGAAATCCTTTCAATTCAATATATATCGAAAACAAATGGAAAAATCGAAAATTATCAGAAGTGCAAAGTTATCCACTGGAACATTTCCTACAAATTATTACCCATAATTTTTTCTGTAAACCCAATAGTACAGGAAATAAAGTAAAAAATATGAAAAAAAAAATTTTAACGACCCATAGGGTACCATGAAGATATATTGAAAAACAAAGATTATCGATAGATGAAGCTCATCGACATCCACTGAACCATGAAATATTTTTTCCTTTTGTTGATTGGAAGATGGAACAAAAGTGTTGAAAATTTTATTCTCAGATAATTCCAAATATCTCGAAAACAACTGAAAATATCTGAAAATGTTATAGAACCAAAATTATTCCTTTTGATAAAATCTACAAAAAATCCATATAACATTTTTCTCTGAATTCAATAGTTCGGGAGATACGATGAAAAAACTAAAAAATTCACAAGTTCCTAGATTATCACTTGCCAATAGAAAACAAAACAAAAAACAAAAAAAAGTAAAAAGAGCACACTCGACTGTCTTGATTTCCCACAAAGAAGAAATATGTTGGCATTATTTGAACTTTCTCTTGTTTTTGTTTTTTTAGTCCCTATTGGCAGTCGAGTGGCCTAGGTACGTAGTTTGTGTGGAAAAACCAAGACAGTCGAGTGGGCTAAGTACGTAGTTTGTGGGAAAAATCTCCAGTTCTCTGAACTTTCATAGCGTCGTATACACATCTTTGGTGCCCAATGATAGTTTCAATATAAAAATATGCTCATGATATGATGCCATGGCCTCTACTTCCATCTTACATGAGCAATGATAAAATATCATCTGCTTTTATAGCGTCGTATAAGTTATCTGACCCCTATACTAATCTAATACCTGATGAAAACTACATCTATACTAATCTGATACCTTTCAAAAACTACGTACCCCACTTGTTTTACTGTGTTCCATACATCATTGAGGTACTTTGTATGTCATCAATTTTATTTCCGTATCTGATATCACAATGACTCCATTGTGTTATTATTTCAAGCAATGACAGCTCTGTGTAATTGATGAGCATTACTTGACAGGAAATCAGATGGCTACAAGCTGAAGACATCGAAAATGCCGCTGTTATCTTTTACATTCGTTGAAAAATTATATTGTATAACTTGTAGGAAATGATAATTTCCTACTCGAATGATTGCAGCATTCGCCTATGGCTCATGCTGCAAACTTCATTCTCGTAGGAAATCACTATCATTCCGTGCTCGTTAAACAATATACTACTTCCAAATTATTTCCATAACCTTGAGGTCAAGTAGTTTTCAACAGAAGCTATATTATAAATAGCCTAACGTTTCAACAATTTATTCTGTCATCAATATCATTATCATTGCACTGAAACAGCTTTTGAATGGTTGGGATTTTTTTGCTCCAATGGTTGTTCAAGTGCTACATTTGGACACCGATAAAAATATGTATCTTTCAAAATGGCACCTGGACGTCGAAAGGAAGTCATCTTGAAGAAAATAAATTTTGAATTTATTAAAGTCCACAGATAACTTTCATCGATTTGCAATTGGATATCTGAAATAAAATTCATCACAGCTAAATTTGTACTTTTTGACGTACGTAATTCATGTTGACCGTTATACAATTAATTATTATTGCCAAGAAATTCAAGTATATGATTATTCATAATGTTTTCTTCACTCTCCCCTCGAAATATCGACTGATTTTGCGACTGTTGTCCTACAAACGAATATGGAGTTCTTCCAAGATTCTGAGAAATTTGTAATAATAATTTGCATTGTTTTGGGAATATCCTGAAAAAATATCTTGGATTAGTATCATGTTTTTCTAATAATAATTTCAAACCCAACCAAAAACACTAATGTTGCTTTCAATCAAGTTTGCAGTGGAGAAAATCGTTGCGGTAACGTCTTGTTTACTGTCAAATTAACTGTAACTGTCAAATAGTCCGTTGACCGCCTCAATCATTTTATTCATACATCATTTCATACCGGAATGTCACCTTTCAAACGTTAATATCTCGAAAACTATTGAATTTAGGAGTGAAGTATATTGAAGAAAACTGTTGAGAATTATGAGCGAATTTCGAAAATGGAATAATACACGGGGTGTTCTATTTTGAAAAAATATTGAAGATGGCGCTCAGCCGCCATTTCAAAACTTTTAGATGTTTTCATGAAGAAGTTGGTTTTTATCTCCTATTGAAGCCCTTCAAATTTAGTTGCGATATACCTGGTGGTTCAAAAATTAGTAGGGGGGAACGGACTTTAGACGGTCACTGTGTATGAAAAAGAACTGGTATAAACTGTTTATACCAAAATCTTGAAGGCGACACCCTCCTTTGTAGAGAAGGATTACGAACGCCAAAGTTGTTACACTCTCCTCGTAAGGGTACCTGAATTGACTCCATACACTCACATACATGAATGCCGACTATTTTTCGACTGTTTGATTGAATTAAATATTTAGTAAAACGATAGTCATTTTGTTCATGAAGAAATGTTTGACGACGAATAGAACTATGATTTCAAACGAATGGGGAGAGCGGAAATGTGTCTTAAATTCTATTTTCGAGAAATTTAGATTAGTTCACCAGATATCAGATAAAATATTTATTTATTTATTTATTTATTTATTTATTTATTTATTTATTTATTTATTTATTTATTTATTGAACAAATAACTTCCAGACAGAATAGGCTCTGGTATAAGGAAGTACATAATTATATACCTATAGGTAAACATATCATTATACAAAATATATCAACAACTGTAAATTGACAAACAAAGAATAATATTTGTAAAAAAAAAAAAAAAAAAATGGCATGTTCAATTTTATCCAGTTCGCTCAGAAATAATCAATTTTTTCACTTCATTTTTGAATGAACCTATGTTTCTGCAATTTTTTATATTGTCAGGTAGTTTATTGAATTCAGTTAAGGCTGAATGAGTGAATCTTTTTTGTCCGATAATGGAGCTAGCGGCGTCAAGATGAAACAAGTTATATTGTCTTGTTTCATGATTATGAATTTCAGAATTCCGTATCAACATAAAATTCGACTTCAATTTTTTATTTATGATATTATATGATATTTGAGAGTTTCAATTCTATATATTTCATCTAAAGAATACGTATTTGTTATTTCAAACAATTGATTGGTTGGTGTATCAAATGGGAGACGATACAATACTTTTAACGATTTTCTATATAATGTTGATATTTTATTGAAATTGTTCTTTGAACAAGTTCCCCAAACATTTATTAAATAGTTGATACGACTCAGTATATGAGAGTAGAGAATCATGTTTGCAATTTTAATATCAAGTTTGGGACATCTTCTCAATGCACCAATAATTGGAGATATTTTTTTTGTCAGAACATCAATATGTTTGTCCCACTTCAACCTGTCATCAAACCAAATTCCAAGATATTTTATCTGGTCAGTTTGTTTTAAGAGTTCATTTTTCATTTTAAGGCTGAGGAAAATTTTTTGTTTATTTTTTTGGTGAAAAATCAAATATTCTGTTTTTTTAGTATTTATCGATAAAAGGTTAGAGTGGAGCCATTTTTCAAATATTTTCAAGTCTTCATTTATCATATTTTCTAAATTTGAAGGATTCTTGCTTTCATATAAAAGTACTGTATCATCTGCATACATGGTATATTTACTCGTGAGACCAATTTCACTGATATTTTGAACATAAAGTAAATATAATATAGGTCCTAAAACAAGTCCTCTCTGGATTGATTCTAAATATATTGAGTACCTCTTCTTTTATACCACTAAGTTATTGGTGTTATAGGGTATGTAATTTTTTTGCGAAAGATAAGAACTCCAAATGATCTTAATTTGTGAATATACCGATTTTACCGTCTTTTGCAATTCGTTTTCTTCTATGCTTTGATTTTGTCTCTCTTCTTTGTTCGAAACATGGCCATCTCCAACCTTGTTTTTGTGTGTTAAGATTTATAGAAGAAAGAAGTTTCGTGGCGGACGGAGACCAAGGCTTGGCGTTTTTCGACGATTGCATGGAAAAAGTAGGCAACGAAGAAAGCGCTCACCTCAGACTGATAGAATTAGACTTGGTGCATAAAAGTGACAGGACTGTATTCGTTTTACCGCCAGAACCAGCTGTTCCTGGTAAATTGAAGAGAAGCACAAGAGTTCCACTAGCAAACTGTCTATTCTCATTTTTTTAGGGGCTTTTTATGAATATACTCATTTCAACATGAATCCTGAGCTGCTGATTATGCACGGTAGGAAAAAGACGGTGCTTTCTTCTTTTCTTCAGACAGTGACTCCCGGCTCACCTATGACGCGAAGAACGAAGCAAGAGATAAAGACTGCTCAAAAATTGGCAAGGTATGTATCACGTTTCATAAAATAAGTTCGGAACCCTCCAGTTTTATGTCCACGCTGTACAGAATGGTGACCGATAAAGTCCAAGTCGTTTTCATTTTCAAATTAAAACAATTTCAAATTTTCGGGGCGGCAGACTGTGACGTACCTTCTGAATCTAGTCTGAAAATAGCTGATTGTGAAGAATATAGCTAGCGAATAGCTAACGAATAGCTAACAAATAGCTAACGAATGAAAACATTAGATGAAGTAAAACTGGTAAATGAAAACATACACAACCACAAATGCACTCGGAGCAGGAATGCAGAGGGTAGTTGGCTTCATTCTGATAGGTTATGGTCTTGTTATTTATGCATTGAAATATCTCGAATATAGCTCGATCCTAAACGAAAATATCATTGAATCAATGAATCACTATCGGCTACATTCAATGATATTATCCGTCCTGATTTACTGCCATCGGTCATAACAGAGAATGAAGCCGGCACCCATGGCTCCTTCCTCTTGTTGTGCCTGTCAGTATTTTGAGTGGTGTGAACGGACTCGAAGTATTAGGCGCTGTTGCGAGATATAATCTGCAACTTTCCTAGAAAACAGATCTGTTTTATTAAGTAACGAATTTATTAGCAAAAAAATTACTAACAAGTTATGAATAACATGTTGTAATATAACGATAGTGAAAAATTATAGATTCTATCGCAAAATATCATAATTTATCTTTATAAGTAATCAACTCCATTCAGCCAATGAGATATTTATGGGAATTATTCATTGACAATGTAAGATTGAAGAACCTATTATATCCCATCGCTGTTATGTTATGGGGATCTAGGAATTTTCTTCGATAGCAATTCTTCGAAAGTAATTCTTCGAAAACAATTCTTCGACAAACCATTCTTCGAAAATGCAATTCTTCGAATACCATATTCTTCGAATAAACAATTCTTCGACTAATAATTCTTCATAAGGTCATTTTGTTTTTTGAGAATACCTATAAATGTGGGGTTATTAGGAACTGGAAATAAAACACTACTTTTTTTATTTGTTATAATTATGTCAACATTTTATTAATAAATTACAGTAAAAGTTTACAGTACAGTAAAAGGTTACAGTAAAAATTACAGATAAATGACATAAATACTATCAAATACCAAGGTAATAAAAAAATTATAGATTAATATGATATGTTGTGAGCTAAACCTCTAATGTATTCTATTATATTATTTTTATCATACTGATTTACAAGAGTTTTGATTCGTTGATTACAATCTTTGTACTCCTTTCTTGGTGTTTGTGGTTCAAATCCGCTTAAATATTGTTCTACACGAAGTTCATTTAGACTTTGCTCATTTTTTATGCATTTTATAAATTTCCACAAGTTGGGGTGAACTGCTGATACTTGTGTTTCAAAACTTCGATGCCATCCTTCTACCGAATTATTTGTTCTCGGTAAATCATCCAAAACTGTTTGATATAGATTCCACAATTCGTATGGATATTGTGGTGGTTTTCGCTGTTTCCGATTTGGTCGCCCAATCCACGTATCTTCAAAATAATTAATTAATTAATAATTAATTAACACTTTCGGCTTCTGACGGAAATATTTCACTTTCATAAAATTGTTCAAAAGCCATAACTATATCATCCACTGGGACAAAAGCAATAGCACACAACATTTTTAGTTTGAAAGCAAATTCACTGTCAGTCTCATAGCGTTTTTTTAATCCATTCCTTTGAATCATTCGAAAAATGCATTGACTGAAGTGGAAAAAACAGCCTTTTTTTTTACAACTTGGAAAAGCACTATTGCCGGCATTAATCAATGCTTTTTCGAAGTCAGTGGTAATCGTTGCGTTCTTGAAAAAATTGATCATAAATTCGTTCTGATTTTTTGGTAAGAGTGCATAAACTAAAGGTACCGATAAATTGTGTTGCAGTCCGTGAACGGTTAGTAATTGTTGGAATGAAGTCTGACCATCAGTCTGACCAACCAGCAGGGGAATTCTGTTTCACAATCGTCGATTGTCGTACGATACGATGATGAACTCGAAGTCGAATTCATTTCCTATTCTATTTCTCGATCAAGTCGCGATGGAATTCGACTTCGGAAATCGTCGGTTTTTTTGCGAAATGGGATGAGATTTTGATCTAATGAAACTAGCACCGACGACATAGCCCCGAAGCCATCACAAACTTGAGGTTATGGTGGTTTTTTCAATCCAAAGACAAGAATAAAAATAATTCTTATTGTTTGAGATGGTATTTCAGCAGCTAAAGATAGGCAAAGAAATTTGGATCTAATTCGTCGATGACAAGAACTATGAAACAGAAGTAGGTACCTACCTAATCCTTCTTCGTCACCTGAAAAATGATTTATTGAGCTATTTAGATTGAACAAAAGATTGGTTCGTCTTCTGATACAATCATTGAGACCCCACTTATTAGTGGATAGGTCTAAGTATGTCATGTTATGTCATTTCTCAGGAGTTCACTCGCCAAGCCCGAATGAATTTACTTGGCTTAGCCTGATTCACAGTATTTTATTGATGTCACGACCATCTGAAAATCAATCTGTGGCCGTGGCCATGTTCTTTGCTGTTCTAAAAATGTAATTGACATTTCCCAGTGGGCATCTCTGAGTTTGAACGACATCGAAAATTAATTACATATTATATTTATGGAGTAATGAGATTATTACACCCTTTCAAAGCTGTGCTTTCACATAAACAAGATGATATAACCTCAAATTGGGATGAAGATGAAAAGAAACATTCGATGATAGATAAGCATGGATTGACAAAACGCATCAACTCGACTCCTCTTGAGCTATCGAGGAATCGAGTCGAGTTCACACGATTCATTCGAGGAACAGAATACCAAATATCGAATAAAGATGGCCGATTCGACAGATAGAATCTCCCTGCTGCTCGCGGGTGCCACGAATCTCTGGCAGAGTTATCTCCACCATTCGCGATTTCTTTCATATATTAGTGTTCGGCGTTTAGGATTGTTGGCGTATACTTTTAAATGAATCGCTCAACATAAAGAAAAATATCCGTAGGAAATGCTTGCGATCCCCTGACCTGTGGGCTAGATGTCTTTGCGGCACCTGCCACACCCTGTACTTCATGGCGCTGCCGAGCATGCTCCATTTGAATGCCGGCAAAGAGAAGGCGGTGTTGCAGCAGTCGTACGATCTGCTCGTGCGCGCCACCAAGCAGCGCTTGACGTGCGACGAGGTGTGCTACCGGCTGATGATGCAGCTGTGCGGGGAGCACTCGAGGCCGCTGCTAGCTGTCAAGTTGCTGATTTTGATGAGGAATTTCGGGATACAGCCCAACGCGCTCACTTACGGGTGAGTATCGCACACATATATATATATAAAAAGAGGGGAGGCGCAATTGTTCACATTTTGTCCCAATCCAACATCTTTTTAAGCAGACAAGTTTCTGCGGATTGCCCTAGACCTACCGCCTATGTTTGAGAACGAGAGAAGCATTTATCATACATTAATTATACAGGTTTATTGGTAATTCGATACATTCCTTTGGCGGTGTGATAGGGAGTGAATTCAACCCTAATATTGATTATGCAAAAGTTAATAGTTTGTGAGATATTTAATTTTTTCTTCAAAAGGTTGACTTGGGTTTAAAAGTAAGTTTTACGAAAATCTGCTGTACATTTTCTCAACCTCTCAACTAGAATACATGATCAACACTATGGTTTCATGTTGGGAATGAAAAATTTCAGAAATAATGAGATGATAGATAAAGGGTAAATACAAAGTCGTATTTTTGTTTAATAATTGTGGATCTCAACACTTTGTTGCGGTTATTTTTAGCAAAATCTCTAAGCCACATTTGTCAAAGTTTTGTTAAAACTTCCTCAATGCAATAGCTATCTAACTGGGTACAAATGATAATAAAAGTGCTCGATATGGGTTTTGTTATTTCAAATGAAAAAAAAAACGTACTTGTAAAACTTCTACTATTAGTATTCCCTTTTTACAAATCCTGTTCAAAATAAAACCTCTATTACGAATACATACGCGGCAGCGTCATCTTATTTCCGTCTTTGTTATTCTAGTTGTCAAATTATTGTATATGTGCAGGGTAGGGTCGGTTATCATTTGTATGAGTTCTTCCCGAGTATTTAGTGGGGTTCCATTAACTAGCGCTTCCATATGACCCCACACATAATGATCAAGAGGGGTTAGATCAGGGCTTCACGCTGGCCAACCTATTCGACCTGACCTTCTAATCCAACGGATCAAAAAACGTTCATCTAAGAACTGCCGAACGATCAGCCGATGGCAAGAGATACATCCTCAAGAAGCTCCTGTAGATCATGCCATAGAAAATGTGTATACATTTCCCTGTTCAAATTGTCTAGGAACAAATATGCTCCTATTAAATAACTGTCAATGAGTCCCATCAACACATTAACAGAAAACTTCTGTTGGAAACTAGTTTTCCTTGTTAAACGAGGGTTTTCTTCGGCCCAATGATGGAGGTTATGAACATTTGTTATGTTATTTGGATGCCTCGAGCAAATAAACGGAAATAAAAACTGCAGAAAATAAATAATGATAGGCATATTATAGTGTGTTTAATACTATTATTTTTATTTTTATTTATTTATTTATTTCAGTTATTGCATTACATTCTCTTCTTCATTGATACATTTCATACAAATAATATATAAAGTATAATTAATTTTCTAGTAGGAATGACATGAATGATCAGACAGTAATTCCTGGTCATTCATGAAGTAATATCGACTGTTGTATAATTGAGATTTTTCTAAAAATAACCGCTAGAATGTGGTTGAAATTCACAATTCACAAACAAAAATACGACTTTGTATCTACAATTCATCTATGATCTAAATTATTTCTGTAATTTTGTGATTCCATAAGACCATAGTGTTGATCATATATTCTAGTAACTTACAAACCCTTGAAGTCTACCTTTTAGAGAAAACAAAAAAAATTGAATATCTAAAAAACTATTTACTCTTGCATAATGCAAATTAGGGTTTAATTTACTCCCTATCACCTTCCCTATCACATCTCCAAAGGAATGTATCGAATTACCAGTAACCCGTATAATGAATATTTGTACCTACTCACTTCACCGAAAGTAGACGTTGACTCCCACGGAGGAATTTACCGGGTTCTCCGGTCTTAATTATTATTTTGTCGCATACCTTACGATGGGTTATCTTCAATTTTCAGGTTATATAATCGTTGTGTTTTGGAAGCAGAATGGCCGGCCAATTCCGGTACTAGTCTAGTTTTGTGGAATAAACTAAGGAACGTAGTCATGGGAGCGGCACATTTCCGATGGGCAGCTCGAAAAAAAGCAGCCAGAAAGCTTTCCGTCTCGACTGAAGGAGGTAAACAATTTCAAAATACTAGAAAAGGGTGATTCAGTGTGTGAACTCATTACTGAATGAATTGAAACATATTCAAACACATAGAATCTTGAAGAATACTCGGCCAGGACAATTAGATTGAATTAATTCAACTCAAGAATTTGTTCCACTGAGTGGAATTCGTTAGGTAACTTTTTAACTATTATACATATTTGTTTCTCGTCGACCTAAACAAAAAATTACATTTTATGTACTAATTTACCAATGAAAAACGACTATTTTCGAAGGCAAATACATTTCGTTCTTAGACACTGATTTTTCGTCCGCTGTGGTCACTATGATATAGCACGCGAGAGCGGCGGTTGAGTTGACAACGGTCAACTGTCATTTGCTGCTGTCGAATTTTAAATTCATTATTCACGAAATCCGATAGGTTTAACGTGGGAAAACTATATATAATTCCTTTATTTAGCCAATGACTAATACAAGAGTTTACAAGTAAAGAGAAAAAATACAGTCATGAATATAACATATATGAACACAAATACTGATAAAATACATACTATTCAACATACAAATAGATACAAGTGAAATTGAAAAAATAAAATACTTTCTACATCACTCAGGTACCTGCACCCAACAAATATTGTTTTAATTTTCTCTTGAATATATTCAGTGACAATGAGGTTTGGTAATTTATTGAACTGCTGCAGTCCTTTGAAAAATATTGAATTTTGAGCATTTGTCCTGCTTACTGGCGGTATATAAAAATTAGTTATACTTCTTGTGTTATGATTATGGATGTTATGGTTAACTTATTGTTTTTTGTCCAATTTCAATTTCCCGAAAGTCAGCGTTCCCTTTGCTATTTGGAACTAATGTTTTCAGGGTTTTCCACATTTCTTTTGTATTATTCCTACTGTTCGAGATCTGTCTCGATTTATAAGAGTCTGGATCATGTGTAATCCCTGGATAATCAATCGAGTTTATGATTGTTAGAACTGGAGATGGAGCGTTGCTGGAGGCTGGAGCATTCTGGATGTGGGTATTCACGCACTCGTGATTCACGTAACTTGACGTAACTGGCCGGTATACTTGTGAGAACGAGAGAGAGATATATACAATTTTCTGCGTGAGAACGAGAATCGTTGTCATATCACGACAAGACTGTAGATCGAGAGTGTGTTTCTTCTTCTGCTTCTTTCCAGATGGAGTGGATAGAAATCACAGTATATTCGCGAAGAACACATAGGCGTATTTATGAGTTATTTTTTGAGAGAATTTTGAATTATGAATTACTTGAACTCAACTAAAACTAAATAGATGAACGGGAATTGAACACCTACACTCATCTATTTTACCTTCCTAATAATCTCTTTTCTCTTTAGTCAATACCTTAACTACATTGTGTCTTTTCTGTTTATATATGCCGTTGTTCTATCAACTAATAACTATTCTGGTTTTCTATCATCAGCTATGTTTTTTGGGGTCTTGGAGACATGCAATAAAACAAACAAAAAATCTCTGTTGCTATCTTAGTAATTTCTCCCTCTCATCTATTCCAGGTAGTAGTTTGCTCGACCAAACAGACCGAGCCATCTCCCGATCCTCTTTGGATTCGCACGAGGCCATTCGCGAAGACAACAATTACCTGCTCCGCAGAGGCACCAGTATTATTAAGGGTAGTTTGAACGGCTTGGAGGAGGTGGATGGAGTGGATGGGGTGGTAGAGGATTCCGTTGACCAGAACTGTGATAGAGAGAAATCAAAAGTAGAAGCGAACGATCAAATTAATAGTAAATTCGTGTCTCCAGATAGCCCGTCCGAGTATAGGTATTTCGGAATATCGCTAATGGATGTCAAAAAGTCACCTCTGTGTTTGTTGAATTTTTCGTGATTCTTCCTTACTGCATCATCACGTCGAGTTTTTAATATCATACTGTAATTACCCCCTAGCAACCGAATTAGTCACGTATACAATGCAAAACGTTTATTTTCCACTGGGTTTTTTGAAGTTTTTCAATCGACTGGGAAGTTTTTTGATGAGTCCAAAGTTATTGGGAGAGTTACGTGTAATCTCATATTTACACATTGGAATGTGACAATTGTGACATTTTCTTGTACTTATACCACAGTTTAAGGAATGGGTATCAGTTAACTCACTTGTCGTCGGCCGTTTCATGTTCAGAGATCTGAAGGGTTGGCTGCACGTGTTCCTTGCGGTTGCTTGCGGCACCGATTCCGCAAATTTGCTGTAGATACGGGGTATGGAAGATTATTTCACGCGATGCCTGATGTACCTGTGATGATCCGAAAGTTGGCTGTGGTTGAAATATTCATGTGATAGGCGTGGTTGGGCATTGAATAGGTAGGAATGAATCAAAAATAAATTTAGAATTGAAGTTTATTTTCATGCTGAAGCGTTTTAATTTGTCCTTGTAATGCGGCTTTCCTTGGGCTTTTAGACGAAAGAGTGGCTGAAGTTTGACAGCCTCGATCTGAAATATAACAAGAATATATATTTTTTTAATGAACGGAATCAGCTATACCTTGATGAAAATTCACATCGATATGATGCAGTCTAACAAATATTCCCAAAATATCAGATTTTTTGTAATAAAACGAGAAAACAAATAAATCAACTACGCCACTTCCAGACAATTTGAATAAGTAATTGAAGTTCGCGTATTTATTCAATTTCGTATTTATTTCAATGTCGCACCACTTATTTTATGAATACAAATAGGTTGTTATTGTTTCCTTGATAAAATATAACAGCAACATTATGAATTAGGTATCTCTTGTTATTTCTGCTATAGATCATGAGAATTGATCAAATAATAGCCTGAGTTGAGTTGAGTAAGCATCGGGGGGACTTGTCGAAGTCCAGACAGCTAGACCGCTAGTGTGGGTCCATTGTGTCGCCCCGTGAGTATGGCATCCTTCACAAGAGTCCTTTGTCCGAAACTCCACCATCTGAGCTGTGTTAGCGCAGGACATTCACATATGATGTGGATGGGAGTTTCGTCGTTTTCGAGACATAAACGACACGTTGGGTCATCGGAGATGCCCAGAATGTTTATATGTCTGTTAAGGCGGCAGTGTCCAGTTAGTAAACCAGTGACAACTCTGCATTGGCTTCTTCGCATATTCAGGAGAGATTGGGTGAGACGTATCGAAGGCCTATCAATGAAGGTCTTCGCCTGCCTCATACCCCTGGATTCAGTCCATTCCCGACAAAACCTCTTTGTTAGAAGTTCTTCAAGTTTTCGCAGTCCTGTGCAGAGAGAAATGCTCACGATGGGCTCTGGGCCGGCTGAAGAACCTTGCCTTGCTAGAGCATCGGCTCTTTCGTTGCCATCTATCCCACTATGTCCCGGAACCCAAAGTAGTTCGATACCGTTTTCCCTTGCTATCCCAGCAAGGTTCCGTTTGCAATCTAAAACCAACCAAGAGACCACTCTTGGTGCTCGTAGAGCTTTGAGAGCGGCCTGACTGTCGGAGCAGATGGAGATGCGCTTTCCTCTTATGTGGCGTCGTGTGATTTCTTGTGTGCAGGCAAGGATGGCGAAAATCTCAGCCTGGAATACAGTGGCAAATTGTCCAAGGTGTTGAAACTCTTCGTAGTCTTGGTTCTGCCCGTATACGCCAGCACCAGTGAGATTCCCAGCACGAGACCCATCCGTGAACCAGGTGAGTCCGGTGCCTGGATTCAGGGTGTGTGGTTCGGTTAGCCACTCGTCTCTATCATGAAAGGTTAATTTGACAGAGGAGATACATTCATGATGCGGCGTAATGTGGTCTTGCACCATGGTTAGAACAGGACAGGCTAAGGTAGCTTCTGTCCAGATCAAGGGGTAGGGAGATCGGCACATTCAGGCGAGTGAGTTAACTGATACCCATTCCTTAAACTGTGCGTATACCGTGTATGTTCCTATTAGTAATGAATTTTTCTTTATAATACATAAATACATAATTCAAATACAAAAACACCAATGACAGTTGAAATGTTGGGGCTATTAAAAATATTTCTGCAAGATTGTCGACTAGGTATACCTGCTATTATTCTTATAACTCTTTTCTGTACAATAAAAACATCCGGTGATAGAGTTACTCCGAAAATGTATACCATAACGGATTCGTGAGGAAACTTGAGCATGATAGAGCAACAACATCTGTTCTTCTGTAAGTATTGTTTTTAGACTCCGAAACATAATTATGTATAACAAAGGGAATTTAGTTTCTTCATCAATTTGTTGCAATTGAAAAACACAAGGGTATAGTGATTGGTCGATAGTTTGTCATTAGTGAGGCATTCGACATTTTGTGAATGGGGACAACTTTTCCCGTCTTTATAATTTTACACCAGAGCTTTTCTTGTTGAAGTAAACTGACATTTTAATGAGAATTTTGATGCCTACTATTTACATTGACATTGATTGAAGACAATTTCATGAATACTTAAATCACGTTGTTGTTGTCTCCACAGATTAGATACTTTTCTGACAATGCAAGTTTGAGAAAATCGTCATCGAATATAAGTTCACAATTTTGGTTATCATGGTTCCAAATGTTAGGTTCCGTTTTGTCACTGGAAAAGTTAAGGCAAGCTATTTTCCCTGCCATAATGACACGATTACAGCGGCTTATGGGTCATGGGTCTTTTCATACATTCAGCCACCACAGTTGTAAAACACCTGAAATTGACAAATATCGAAATTTCAGACCCCTTTTCAAAAACTTTACTTTGTACGCACTGTGTTGATCTTTCTTATATAAAAAAAAAAACTAAAAAATTTGGCCTTAAAAATTTGACACCCTTGAAATGTTCTTTTGTATTCACTATCAACGTAATTTTAACACAAATGTCAGATTCCTTCAGAATAAAATTGGGAAAGCCAAGTCACACTTTCATTTACTTGTGGTGTCAGAGAAAATTCCGAAAATACTACAATTTTCATTGTCAATGTACGTCAAAAAAAGTTCGAAATTCTAACTTGAAGTTTTTACCCCATTGGAGCAAAATTAGGTTCTTCCCTGGAGTCGCAATTTTGAATTTCCTTACGATAGTACTCGAGAAAATCAAAATATCTCTAAAATAAAATACGAAAATTATCTCAATTGAATATTTTAATCAAAATGTGTATAAACGGAACACTTAGTTATTTTAGGAAACTCATTTCTGTACATTCTTGATTTTGGTTGATTGGTAGATTGAGCTTGATAGATTCTTTGTTCACTAATTTTTTATTTCACATGTCATGAGGCGAAAGCTATCTGAGAACATATTTTTTCAGTTTATGCAGTAATGGAGATTGTTTTGTTTCCATGCAGTGCTGACTTTTTGACGGTCCTCGTTTTTTTTTATCTATTGGTAACGAATATTTCGTAGGTTGTTATCGAGATCAGAGAGTGCTGCCGATGCCAACTTGATCGACAAAATTCAAATCAATAACAAGAAGAGTTGTTCCAAATCATTGCGATTCAACGGTGACGGTGAAATTGTGATGGAAAATGGAAACAATTCCCCTGGAAAGTGAGTAATGTCTAGTCATTTTCATCAGTTAGATAAACAGTTATGTGATGAAAATGAGATTGATTGAAAAATATCCAGGGTGAGTCAATAGTGTGTTCTCCTTCCATATTCAAATACAACAGTTATAAGGTTTTATGAGAACTATCACCTAAAATTATTTTTATATCTATAGGGTATTCGAATTCCAAGATATATGATGATGTTTGGTTTTCTTGATGAGACACCCTGTATATTATTGCATCTTTATGTTGTCCCTGAAGAGTTGATTTCATCAATACATCACACTTGGGGTCTGGAGGGAATGATTACAGAGATATAGGGTGTTCAAAATGGAGATTTGGAACTATTTAGTATTGGTCTAAACGGCTTACATGTCCCTATCTTAACTTTTGAAACAAATACATGGTGTTTCAAGATTCGAGAGTTCTGATCACCCAATTAAATGTCAGTAGATAGTAAATCGAAAGTTAAGATAGGGACATGTGAGCCGTTTTGACCAATGGATAGTTTCGATACAAAAAAATCCTAAAGTTGAAAAATCTTGATATCTAGATACTCTAGGGTCTAGACTCTAGACGTGTACCGAACGACTTTACGCTCTCCCTTTCATCTCAGGACTTCTGTGGCTGGTCGAACGATACCTACATTTATTTGCCTGCACACCTACGTCGACTGATCCTCGATCGATGTTCAGCGTCAGTCAAAATCATAGAAATAAACCTCCTCTCGCGTCTCGCACATATCTCCGTATAATGAACGAGGGTACTCAATAAAATTTATTATACAGGGTGTCCTTAAAAGGTCTTTACAAAAAGCTACCACATATTCTTCAGACCAAAACAATTCGATACAAGCAAACTTACCTCAGTAAAAAGTTGCTTAGTTTGGGCGCTAGACGGCTCTGAAGTTGAAATTTTCAAATCGATTTTGCTTCATAACTTTGGAACGGCTCATGAGATTTTTTTCAAATTTGGTACGTTGGCATAGACTCATCGGGCAATGAAACTCATATCATAATTATAATGAATATCATTCCATGGGCATAGAACTTGATTTTTTCAGGAAATAAACATCTAAAACTTCTACGCCAATGAAAAAAAATCAGTTTCAGTATGACATCTAGATAGCCCAAATCATTCACTACAAAAAAGGTACTCCTGATAAAATTCGATTACTCTGATGGTTTCGACAATATTTAAGTTTTAGTGATTTCGCGCATATTCAAATAATAAAACGATTGATAGATATTGCATGAAAGTTTTCCAAAATGTTCACTATTTTCGCGTGAACAAAGATTTATACGACGCAAAAAGTTGAAATCCTAATCATAATGAATATCATTCCATGGGCGTAGAACTTGCTTTTTTCAGTAAATAAACATCTAAAACTCCTACGCCAATGGAAAAAGTTAGTTTCAATATGAAATCTAGATTGTTCAACTCATTCACTACAAAAAAGGTACTCTTGACAAATGGTCGAATGGTTTCGACAAAATTTTAATTTCAGTGATTAAGAGCATAATCAATAATAAAACGATTAACAGATATTTCATAAAAATTGTTCAAAATGTTCACCATTTTCACGTATACAAAGATTCATACAACGCAAAAAGTTGAGATGTACTTTTTGCATAGGTTATTTCTATTGAAAATAAGTAGCACTGGTTTTTTTTTCTGAAGACTATTATTATCTGCTCGAAAACAGTGATATTCACATTCTTGGTTTCCATAGTTTCATTTGTGTTATTTGTCGAGTTTTATTGACGTTGATTGTTGATATCGGACTTTTCTGATTTATCATGGCCGTACAATACACCAATGAAGAATACACCGATATGTTATTGGTATTCGGATATTGTCAAGGAAATGGTCGGGAGAGTGTGAGGGTGTATTCGGCAAGGTTTCCAAATCGTCGCGTACCAAGCCACCCAACCTTTGCTGCAGTTGAGAGACGTCTTCGGGAGACCGGTCATTTTGCTCCTAGAACTGGTGATTATGGAAGACAGCGTTATGTAAGGATTCCCGAAGTCGAAGTAGAAATTTTAGACCGTATTGAAGAAAATCCAGAATTGAGTACTAGACGGATAAGTAATGAACTAGAAGTTTCTAGGAATGCCGTTCATGAAGTACTAAGAGAACAATTATTATACCCATACCACAAGACGCCAGTTCAAGATTTATTAATCCATGATTCACATCGTCTGATGTTTTGTAGGTTCATTAATTTGCAAAGAGAAATGAATCTGAACTTTGGAAAGAATATTTTGTTCACTGATGAAGCCTGTTTCACGAGAAGAGGAATAACTAATTTTCATAATGAACACGTTTATGCAATTGAAAATCCTCATTCCATTAAAATAAACCATTTTCAACACGAATTCAAAATCAACGTTTGGGCTGGAATAATAGGAAATTTTATAATTGGTCCTGTCATACTTCCACAAAGATTAACAGGAGACATGTATTTACAACATCTACGAAATACGTTGCCAAATTTGTTGGAAGATTTACCACTCCAACATCGGGTAGATATGTGGTTTATGTACGATGGAGCTCCACCACATTTTTCGGTGGATGTTAGGAATTTTTTAAACCAACAGTACCCAGACAGATGGATAGGTAGAGGTAATGATGCACCCGTGAATTGGCCACCACGTTCTCCAGACTTAACACCGATGGATTATTTTGTATGGGGTTATCTCAAGTCTACGGTTTACAAGACCCCTGTGAATACTGTAGAACAATTATGGCAACGTATCCAACAGGCGACGAATAATCTTACAGGCGATGAAGAAGTTATGCAAAGAGTACATTTCAACTTTTTGCGTCGTATAAATCTTTGTATACGTGAAAATGGTGAACATTTTGAACAATTTTTATGAAATATCTGTTAATCGTTTTATTATTAATTATGCTCTAAATCACTAAAATTAAAATTTTGTCGAAACCATGAGAGGAATCGACTTTTGTCAAGAGTACCTTTTTTGTAGTGAATGAGTTGAATAATTTAGATTTCATATTGAAACTAATTTTTTTCCATTTTTCAAGTTCTACGCCCATGAAATGATATTCATTATGATTATGACATGAGTTTCATTGCTCGATGAGTCTATGCCAACGTACCAAATTTGAAAAAAATCTCATGAGCCGTTCAAAAGTTATGAAGCAAAATCGATTTGAAAATTTCAACTTCAGAGCCGTCTAGCGCCCAAACTAAGCAACTTTTTACTGAGGTAAGTTTGCTTGTATCGAATTGTTTTGGTCTGAAGAATATGTGGTAGCTTTTTGTAAAGACCTTTTAAGGACACCCTGTAAAGAGAACGAATGCACTTAGGAAGTAGAAGGTTGTTTCAAATTGATGACCCCGGGGACTCAACCAAATTTATTACCAGTAAAAGGGCCCTTAGGAAATAGAAGGTTGTTTCAAATGAATGAACGCAGGGATTCAACCGAATTTATTATTACAAGAACAAATGCACTTAGAGCGTAGAAGGTCGTTTCAAATTAGGACAGTGAACATTCAGGTACATGAACTCGAAATACTTTTATCTCAGGGTCTCCCTTTCAGGAATATTTTGTGGTCAGTGACGATGATCATATGACAGAGGGGTGTCTATATACTCTGATACCGAATAAAAACATGATTTTGTCAGAAATTGTCTCACCCATTTTTTGAATTTATTAGCCTCCATGTTTGTAACATGGGTAGGTAGATTATTGTATAGATTCACGTTGAGCGAATTTCTTGAAGATCTTGTCAACCTGTATCGGGGGAACCAAACTTGGCCTGAACCTCGACAAAATGAATTCACTTAGGAAGTGAAAGGTTGCAAAATTTAACATTACGAAAATTCACTCAGAGAGTAGAAGGTCGTTTCAAATTAGGAAATATCTTCATCTCAGGGTCTCCCCCCGCGAAGTCATCACCGAGAACGACCCCCTAGGAGCCTTCGAGGATCCTGCCCCAAACACCGTCGTCCTCGTGACGAAATCCGCCGATTCCACCCTCACCCGCAACGCCTCGATGACGGTGGACCCGGTCCTGTTCCGGTCCACCGTGCAGCGGTCGGCCACCTTCGAGGGTAGCCCGCCCTCGCAACACCCTTTGCATCGGTCGGAGACGGTGCCTGCCGCCTCGGTGGCGGCCAGTCTGGCCAACATCGGGTCCAGCTTGAAGCTGGGGTTCAGGTGAGTAGAGATGGACGCAGTTTTTCCGATTTTGGTGGACATTTGGATTCGTTTTCTGTTTACACGTACGTATAGGGTTATCGAAAAAAAAAGGAATTCTGTTCGTATTTCAACTTTTCCATATACAGTGTGTCTCACTTATAATGGAAACACCCCTGTATCTTATGTATTCGTTGGGTAGAGATCCTGAAATTTGCTGGAGCGAGAGATATACAGGGTGTTTCAAAAAAACCTAGCCCCCTTGCTAGGGTAGGTAGAACATTGCAAAATAAGTTGGGTTTGCTCAGTAAAAAAATGTCGTAACGCCATCCGTTTTCAAGATACAAGGTGTTGAAACAATATTTTTTTTACACATTTTTCACGATTATGTTGAAACTACTGGCAACATTGTGATGAAATTCAGTATGGATTTTTCTTGGAATCTGACACATCGCATGCATTTGTTTTTATGTATGACTCTCATAGAGGACGCTAGTTACACGGTTCGTACCGAGTAGTTTTGAACATAACTTTTTTGAGGTTAGATTTTTCAATCCACATTTGATGTGAACTTGAACATCATTCAATTTCACACTAAAAAGGTACTCTTGGTAAAACTCGATACTGTGTTCCGTTTTCGGAATATTTCGATTTGAAAATGATGAAGTGGTAACTGTTGCTGGTATAAAGCCATGTATTAGAGTGAGTATTATGAAAAATTATCACCTATTTATTGAAAACCGAAAACAACAATACATTTCTGATGCAAAACTCATTGATTTAACAATGAATCACAAGAATAATATCGAAACAGATTTGACTAAGAACATGGATTTCACCGTTTTGTTGTATCTTGAGCAGAAAGTCTATGCTACATAGGTAAATTCACGTCAAGAGTTGTGAACATCACTTAAATGACCTAACAGCTGATCCTCAACTGTTCAGACGAATAATTCATTTTTAAAAAAAGAATATAGAATCGTGTATTCCTCGAAACGTAGGACATTCTGAACACTTACTCTAACTGATTCAATATTTCATGTTTCTAGTCAAATTTTCTACTTATGATTCTTCGTTCCATCAATAACTTCAGCACAAAAATAATTTTATTGTTTTTGAACCTGAATAAATAGGTAATTGAACTCAATAAAATTCATTTTATACCAGCATCATTACTACTCCATCATTTTCAAATCGAAATATTCCGAAAACGGAACATAGTATCGAGTTTCACCAAGAGTACCTTTTTGGTGTAAAATTGAATGATGTTCAAGATCATATCATATTTGGATTGAAAAATCTAACTTCAGAAAAGTTATGTTCAAAACTACTCAGTACGAACCGTGTAACTAGCGCCCTCTATGAGAGTCAGATATAAAAACATCCATACAAAATTTCATTACAATGGTGCCAGTAGTTTCGGAATAATCATGAAAAATGTGTAAGAAAATAATTTTTTCAACACCTTGTATCATGAAAACGGATGCCGTTACGACATTTTTTCACTGAGCAAACCCAACTTATTTTGCAATGTTCCACCTACCCTAGCAAGGGGGTTAGGTTTTTTTGAAACACCCTGTACTTTGTGACGAAGTGAGGTCATCTTCAGTCACAGAATACCCAACAATCAGAAGTGTTTCTCTGGTCGGCGCCTTTGATATTTCAGGATCTGCTTTCTGTGATTCGCCATGTTGTTGGGTTTAGCAAGCAGCGCCGTTCTGAGGGAAATGACAGGATTGTAATAACTGAAAATATTCACTTTGTGTGTCATTTATCGATACCAGTAAAATGTATTCAATTCCTACAAAATCACACTTACACTTAATTCAATGAAAGATAGTTTACAAAAGCAAACTTTTATTTTCAGTAGGACAGCTTTGAACACAAACATTGCTAAAAATTTGAATTGATAGATTTGACCAGGTTTTCATTAGATTATTTTTTCAAGTTGTTTTTTGGAAAAACTAAACTTTTTTTTCTCAATTGCAGTTCTGCTTGGTCAATAGGTATACAGGGTATATTCATTCAACTGACTCTGATCAGATGAGGAATAAAATCGAGTATTAGGATTAGTTTCGCAAACTATAGCAGCACAAACATGACCACCTCTAAGTTTTTTTGGGCACTCATGTCTACAATTACAGATGAAGCAGATAAAGATTTCATAATTGGCTTATTCTTATACACAACCAAATTAGGTAGGCACCAAAAGTTATTCGAACAGTACAACCCAAACAACAACACAACACAGCAACAATAGAACATGAACTGTACTTAAATATCTGAATATTTCACACGATCATTCGACAGCTCAGAATTCGATAAACATGTAAACAAGTAACCCAGGAAGATGGCCGACAACCTGCGCCGTTCAAATGCGTATCTTACGTAATCGTTTGGTTAGGATCCTGGAATCTGCTGAAGCGAGAGATGTACCAAAAATGTACTCATTAACCAAGTATGGTCATCTTCAGTTATATACACTGCTCGCCAACAGCCCTGGAACCACACACACGTCCCTAAAATAATATCAAGAGGTAGGTGAAAAATCACTTCGGAATCGAAAGCAGGACGTCCAATTCACTAACTTCTCATATTTTGATGCATTATTATCGGTAACGATTTTGTTCATACTACTACGGGGGTGTTTCTATGAAAAGTGAGACAAAAATGAATTTTTCAGAACTGAATTTCTTCAGGAGAAATATGAATAGTTAGTCAATTGGGCGTCCTGATTTTCAATCTATTTCGACTCCTAATATCATTTTCCGAAAATTGGGGTGGTCTCATGGCCGTTGGCGAGCAGTGTAAATCACTGAAGATGACTCCACTTCGTCATAGAGTGCATTTTTGGTATATCTCGCGCTTCAACAAATTTCAGGATCCTCAACCAACGATTACATAAGATATAGGGGTGTTTCCATTAGAAGTGAGACACACTGTACAGGATGGCATTTAAGTAATTTAACCTGATGATACTTCATGAAGTACCACCCCCTTTAACTCTTTAATTTTTTTAATAGATGAAAAAATGAAAAAACCCACCAAGGGATTTGATTTTTTTCTCGAATCCGCAAATACATTTTTCATTGATGTACCGATTTCATTGATTTTGATCTTGTTCGAGAGAAAATTGGTCAAGGCAGACATTTTGCTTCATATTTCTTCAATTTGAAGAAACTTCGAAACTATTTTGAGTTGCACTATATTTTTTTATGTATTAGATTCTGAAAAGTCGAAAGGTTAACCACTTATGAGTGCAAAGACGGTTCAGATTCAGTTGTGTATAAAGTCTTCTTTGTAAATTCCATTTTCTCATGCAATGAAACTGAAAAATTAATAACTTGTATTCCAACTGAGGTAACCTCAACACATCAAATTGTTCACTAAGAAGCTCAAACATGGTATTTCTATTCAATCATTTCTGCATCCATTTCAATTTTTATCTTAACTATTCTCTAAGAGATGACCATTTGACCAACTTCTATATTTTAAGGACAAATATGACTAGAAGTGTGACAATAGATATTTACGTAATCAGTTAGGAAACGCGTTGTTTTGTGTAACGATGGGATTTTGCGGGACGAGCGAAGCGAGATCCCGCAACATCACAGAGTTACACAAAATGGCGTTCCTAACGTGTCACGTACAATATTTTTTCTAATTTTGACGAAACATTTCGCATGAACAAAAATAATGACCAGTTTTACATGAGTTCTGCCGACTCTTGTTGTGTGAAATGAATGAATGAAATGAACATTACATCACCAGTTATGTAAAATTTTACTTTACGCAACTGGTTACGTAAAGTAAGACGTTTCAAAACTTCCGTCACTTTTGAAAAGTGTCACATTACATGTCAAAATTAGAAAAATTTATTTTCCTCATTTCTTCCAAAATCTGATTAAAATTTCTGGAAATTCAAGTAAACTATTCAAATTAGACTCAAAATGAATTAAATACACTTATGGTAATAATGTGAACACTGAATGTTAACAAATACATGATCTTGAAGATATTAGTGCATGCAGGGATGACATTTCTTTGATGAAAATATGTTTTGTCAGTTAATGAAGCAACAGACTAATGAAAAAGCGGTATACAAAAATCCATCTTATCATGATAATAGAGATCCATATGGCATTTTATCTTTCGTTTTCTCAGCTCACTAGTTTTTTTTTTTCGACAGTCATTCCTTTTTTCATGTGGAGCATCTTGCTTGACTGGCTTGCGTTGCACGTATTTCTAGATACCCTGTAGTAGATGTTTTATTTTAGCCGCTATTCACCGTCACGCCTGTCCCTTCGCAAAGCTGACCTCAAAGTGCCGCAGCAGTTCATTGAGAATGCCATTAACAATTTCAGGTAAGTCAATAGATCGAGAATAAAGTCCTTGTAATAACCGTCGAAGATGCAGGTTGGTCCAGAGATTGATGATTTTTTTTTCATTCGACTCAAATCATTGTTTTATTGTTTATTGAATAACTAGCTTCCAGTCATAAATAAAATTCTGGTATGAGGAAGTTGATTACAAACGGGAGCAGAACCGGTCCCGAAACGTCCAAAGATAAGTGAAAATTTGATATTTTTTCTATATACATTTATTTCTCTTCTCCAAAAAAAATTTTTCAATACAAATTGTCACTGACAAGCTAGTGAATTTTTCTTTTAGGCTCTCTGATATTACTACACGTATATTGAAATAATATTCATATTTTTATTTTATAGAAACGAGGAGAAAATCCCAAAAAATTTGGAATAATGAATGTACCACCTCCTCGATTAACCTACAGACAGTATCTACTTTTTTTAGTTTGGCTATCTATAAAAGCGTGTTTTTTTCAGTTTTTCAAACTTCATTCTATTTTGATATTCGTTCATGTATCCCTATTATAAAAAAATATCCTACTTGGGGTAATAAAGACAATCAATCAACGAATCGGACCACCCTGTATGCTTCCATTCGCAACTTGGAATGTCACGCAGCATGCCATTCATTCCATTCTATCTACATTTTTTTCCATTTCCTTCGAATAGTCCGGGTTGTTTAACTAGCAAAAAATTCAACGAACTAATACAAGGTGGTCTCAGGTTCGATCAAGTCCTCCCACGACCCTTGGTGAAGAAGATGAAGGAACTCTGCTTTGAGAATTTTTCGGACAAAAATTGATTACTTGATGGCAAAATCCAGTTTTCTAGCGATATCTTGAAAACCGAGAAATGTAGGTCAGATTTATTTCCAGATGAATTGATCAGCACAAAAATTCACATTTTTGCCCTTATTTTAGCAACATCGTATCTCTCAAAATAACCGTCCATGCTTGAGCACGAATTACGTATACTGTCTTAGATTCACAGTTATTTTGATTCACAAGCGACGTTGTTCAGAAAAACATTAAGGTCAACTCTAACAAAAGCCTTCCTTAGATAGATGCATAAAAATTGCCACCACAAAATTACAGAATTCAAGTGTAATAACTTTCATCTAAAAAAAAATTAAAAAAATCCACTGAGTGGAATTGATTAGTTAACCTTTTATTATATATTTTTTTATATTTGTTCATGCATTCCTATTATAAACATATTATATTCTTCCTTTATTGATACTGTTTACGTAGTATGTACTATTTTCTCACGTAAATTAAGATTTCTCGCACTATTTTTTATTTAATATTGTTTTATTATTCTATATTCTTTGTGTCTATGTAATTGGCATCTCTCTAATGTTGTCATTCTTCATTATTTTTTGATCTGGATATCATGGGGACTTACTATGTAAATACGATCACAATATTCCCTGCCTCTATAATAGTATTATCAGTTGAACATTAAAAATTTTCATTTTTGTATGTCTTGGAGCGCACGAAAGGAAATTCCTATGATGTTCGAACAACATCATGCGTACCTAGTAAGCATAGGGAAAGGAGGTAGGTGTTGGAATTTTGTTTCAATTCTTATAAGTTATAAGTTCTTGGGAATTTTTCCATGGCGAAGAATTCCAAAGCTTTGGCGTTCTAAATAAGAACGAGTTTTGATCACTTTGATGAAAAGTGAGCTAATGATGTCTGAAATGATATTAGATCTAATATAAAATAAAGTTATCAATCAATAAATTGGACCACCCTGTATGCTTCCATTCGCAACTTCATGGAATGTTGCGCAGCATGCCATCTACCTACATTTTTTTTCTCATTCCCTTCTAGTCCGAGTAGTTTAACTAGCAAAAAATCCAACGAACTAATACAAGGCGGTCTCAGCTCGATCAAGTCGGCTGCCACGACAATGGTGAAGAAGATGGAGGAGATCAAGGAGGCCATATCGACGTCGGCCAATTCGACGCCCGTCAAGGCGTCCAGCGACCGATTGGCCGCCGGAGATGGCCAAGATGGCGGCGATGGCGAGTCGAACGACGGCAGCGAGTCGGGCGAGAGGAATCGGAAGGTTTGTTACTAAACCAGGGCAGTTTTGAGGAGGGGCACTAACAAATAATTTTCGAATTCGTGGACTAGTAACGTGAATAGTATTTGGTCCTTACGCCGGCCCTGTTTTTTATCGCATGAGTTCTGAAGTCGACACTTGACAGCAAGAGTAATAAAAAAGGCCCTAATTCAGTGAAATACTCTCGCTGCTTTCAATAATTTTTATGTTGTTTTTCATAGTTGAATTTATTTCAACTATCTTTAACTGTGCTTTTGTTATTATCTTAACGTGTTCAAGTACCAGTGGAATATAGTAATTCGTAAATTCACCTATAACCAATCTTTACAAACGAATAACCCAAAACCTAACCCTACTATACTGGCCCAACGTGGGGCGCCAGTATAGTGGGGTTAGGTTTTGGGTTATTCGGAAAGAAATCTAACATTTGAAAGAATGACAAACAAATTTGTAAACAAATCATTTAATGGCGTTCATGTTCGTTTTTTCAAGCTTGTTAGAAAAGCGTCTAATTTGTGAAAATGTCCCGATTTGGAGTCTTCTAGTGCAGAAATTGAAAAAAACCATCAAAAATAATGTGATTAATGTATTCATCACATTGTCTTATCGAATTACGCGCAAGCAAATTTTTGAGTCAAAGAAAACTTAACATTTATAATTCGAGTTGTGTTGACTTTGGGAAATTGAACTGAAAAAAAGTTCTAGTCCCACGGACCCCTTATGTTTTCAGAGACAATTTCTTTCGTTTAATTTCCAGACATCAAATTAGTGAAAAATGTCCATGATCCGCACTTTTGACGTGGCATTTTTTGAAAAACTTATAAGAATTTTAATTTCGAGGGTCTAGAATTCTAAATATCAGAATCAGTTTGACCCTCACAACCAAAGCCCTGAAAAAGTTTCATTACAGGTGTCGGCGGAGATGGGCAGCTACAGGGGCAGTCTGGCCAATCTGAGGGACTACGAGGAGGCGTTGCCTGAGAGTTTGTTTCCTATCCCCAAAGAGGATAAGACAGGTTAGATTGAGGTGGAGTGCCTAGAAATTGATGAAATAAACCTCTGGTGTACGCACTTCAATCCTTTTCTGTTTAACAATTCCTTGATGTTCGCCTACTTGGATAAACATAACATGGCGTGGGTAAATCTCGCTAAGTTTAGTCTGGTGCCGTACCAAAATTACAGGCATCAATGTGACAATTGTGACCAATGAAGATAGGGAATATATTTTGCAATTTAGACGCATCAAGGTTGATAGAATTGATGTTGTCTATCTAACATTTAATTTGTGAACCCCCCGTCATCGTCTGAATATCAATTGTTTATATCAAGAATCAGTCTGACGAAACAAATGAAGACTGAGCGCACTATAGATTTATTTCATCAATGCCTTGAAGATCTGACGTTTATTGATTTGATTGATTGTCTTTATTACCCCAAGAAACATTTCTGATTATGATAGGGATACATAAATACATATAGAGTGAGATGATGCAAGACATGACAATTAGTGTGTCCTGACTCTTTTAAAAAGCATTAAACGTCAGATCCATGCTTGCCGTATCAGGCGTTGATTTCGGGTTGTGATCGGAGTTGGCCATGGAGCACATCATTTCTCATCTCTGAAAATTGAGACGGGTGGAAAGTAGTTCAGGTCGAACTCAATGTGGCTCTGATCGGCTTGTTATTTAAGTTGAACCTGGAACAGAGCCTTCTTTGGAAGGACAAAGCTCATCTGCTCCAATCCAGAGCTGGTCATGAAGAAAATTCTTTCTTTCTACTTCTTCGAATAAGATGAGGAGAAAGAGGTTCAAGTCTGTTTCCATTCAGGGGTCTTATTTTTGAATCGAGAGAACGATTCCCTCGAGGGAAAGCATGGTATAAAATGTTTAAAATGACACTTTCCACTGCTTTTTTGGTGGATTATGAGAGAAGACGGAACAGAGTACCTGTTTCTCTTGCTATCTACCGAGAGAAGCAGCAGGGAACGAAATAATTTGTTAATAAAGCGGTCTAGCTCCCTGGATTCAAAAATGAGGCCCCTGAGAGCAAATGATGATAGAGGTCTTCACCTCTATTATCATGTCTTCTGAAGCAAAAAGGGAGCAGTAGGTGCTTTGCTTCTCTAACCTAACCTAACCTGACCGTTAAGCATAAGCAAAGCCTCTATCTGTCTAAGGAAAAGCAGGAAGAAGGCCGTCAAGAAGATCCTCTCTTTCACAATCTCTTAAGGAGCGACGTCTTCATCACCTTCTCTTCCTAAGGAAAAGGGACAGGATGAGCCTCTTTTCTGCTTTCAGAAGGAGAAGAGTCCATCATTCTGCAAGTTGTTGAACTAGGTTATGTTAGGTTCAATGTGAGTGGGGCGAATTCCGCCTCTCCACTGCGACCCCAGATGGGTCTATTGTGGCTCACCCCTAGAGGTTACAGTTCACTGTACAATCCACATCTTTTTACAACGTTCATGGTTGAATTAGGTGAGATTTGTCTGAAATCGATAGATTCTAAATTGGTAAAGCCAAATATATCGAGCCTTAGTCCTTCTAAGTAAGAGCATGAACATAAGTGTTCAGCCGTTTCGTCTTCCACACAGCAGAATCGACAGTCCGTTTGTTGGTTCAGACCCATCCTTCCCAGGTGGTATCTTAGACGACAGTGTCGCGTAAGCAGTCCTGTCAGAATTCGCAGGTTACCCCTGCTCCATTCTAGGATCTGCCTGGTTATATTTTTCGATGGTCAACAAAAAGTAGTTCACCTTTTCGTTCATAGATACTGCCACCTACTGAATAGGATTCATAGTTCATCTTGTTATTGTTAATAATCAAGGCTTACTTGAAGTAAAGGTTGACTATAAAGAACCTATAATTTCCTTCACAAAAAAAGTAGAGATGCTCTGTTTCATATATCCAACTTGCTAGTAAGAATTATCACAGGCTATCCCGATCTACAACAGTAAAAAAACCCAAAAATTGCTCTCATTGTCAGACCAAGAACTCGACATAACGCTGACCACCTGTTCGCAATGCCACAACTGCTCCTGTCTGCTCTACGACGAGGAGATCATGGCCAACTGGTCGGCCGAGGACTCTAACCTCAATAGCCTGTGCCACGCGTGCGGCAAGCCGACGGTGCCGTTTCTGACCGTGGCGATCACCGGGCCCGATATCGAGCCCTGCGATCCGTTCAGCGTGCCGTATTTGAACCCGCTGGTGTTGAGGAAGGAGCTGGAGAATGTACTCACGCTGGAGGGGGACCTGAGTTTGGCTGAACCGAAGTTCATAGGTAAGGAGATGGAACATTCATAAATACAGTTCTCAGCACACTAAATGGACCACTCATAATGGGCTTATATCACAAAAAAATTTTATTTCAAAATTCGATAGAACTCACTCAAACTAGCTCACCACCGCAAACCGTTTCTTGCTGTGAGCTCCCTACGTTTTATAAAAAATTAATGAAATCCCCGATTTTTCGGACCTCTGAAAACGAGGCGATGATGTGACGTCAAAACCCTACTACTGAAACAAGACTATTCCAGACAGAGATGAATGATAGATGATTTCTGACAGAGTGAATTAGCGCGAGATCACAGTTGAAAGGATTAATACATCAGTTGCCTCAGTCTCCGTCGGGCGTTTGGTATTTTCATTTAACTATGGCGAGATGAGGTTTCTACGTCATAAGAGGGTCCGTTTTCAGAAGGTACTATTATTTATGTCCAAAAATAAAACATTCCAGTTAATTTTTCGATCATATTATGTCGTCAATCATTATTTATGTATAAAAGGATCATTATAAACATGGTTTGAGTTAAAAGTTCTACTAAGGTGTACACGCCCATTTGACTCTATTTCGGAGACCTGTTTTTTGAAAAAATTGACCGATCTCCATGCGGTTTTCGATATCAGATGTGATATTTCATCGGCTTCAAAGAGAGCTAGAACACTCTGAAAAAGTACGCAGAACAAAACTTACACAGGGTGTAAAGTGGAACCATTACAATATGGTCTACATTTCCAATGCTGCCAGAACTCGAGAAATTTTTTTCTGATCAAAAGTCAGTCATATTATGATACACTGGGACCTCTTCTCGAGACGGTTTCGTGATTTCTCCTTAATTGGCTATTGGAACAAAAATTCTATTATTTCTCGAAAGTCTTGCATTTTTGAATTTTTTATTTTGAACTCCACTTGACCTGACTATTGGGAAGAACTGTCCTCATGTTTTGTGGAGGACAATGAAACACGAAAAGAGCACTATTGTGGAAAATACAGGATGATAGAAAATAGGACAAAATCTCATTTCAGTAAAAAAAATCAAAAATGGTGACTAAAACCATGGCCCATTCGATTCAGTACATTCAGAAATGGCCTTCTCGATATACATCATTCATATTGGACTATATACTCGAGACGTTTTCGAAAATTCGCCTCTAATTGAAATACAAGATGAAAATTTTCAATTCAAACTTGTTTCCTGATATCGATGATTCTTATCAACTAATTTCCAATATTTATTGCCGAAGTATGAGACACAGAGTATTATTGTTCAATATACTGGGTGTTTCACAACTAATCTGACAAATACGAACTCTAGAAAACAATAATGTTAGAAGAATCTGGTGACCAGCATTATCTCAAGATCTGAATTTGATTGAACATGTGTGGAGCCGAATGAAACTTAACCTATCGAGAAGGCGAGAGGCACCCCAAAATAATGACAACCTTATCCAAGCTATATCAGAAGACTTCATCAACAACTTCATAGAACCTATGCCAAACCGATTTCATGAGGTTTTGTTAAATCGGGGAGGCCCTACCAAGTACTGATATTTAGGATATAGAACTTTTTAGTTGGATCTTCATAATGCTGAAGAATTCACTAATGTCATATTTCGCCAATAGTGTTATAAATTTGATTTTTCATCTCGTTTTAATTCTATAAAATTGTTATGGTATTAACTTCTCATGTAATATTTTAGTTGTGGTTGAAATTTGTCAGATAAGTTGTGAAACACTCAGTATATTGAACAATAATACTCTGTGTCTCATACTTGGGCAATAAATATTGGAAATCAGTTGAGAAGAATCATCAATATCAGGAAAAAGTTTGAATTGAAAATTTTCATCCTGTATTTCAATTAGAGTTAATAGTCTGATATAAATAGTGGATATCGAGAAGGCCGTTTCTGAATATACTGAATCGAATGGGTCATGGTTTTAGTCACCATTTTAGATTTTTTTACTGTATATTCCACAATAGTGCTTTTTTCGTCTTTCATTGTCCTCTACAAAACATGAGAACAGTTCTTTCCAATAGTCAGCTCAAGTGGAGTTCTAGAGAAAATATTCAAGAAATGTGAGACTTTCGAAAAAAATTCGAATTTTTGTTCCAATGGCCAATTAAGGAGAATGCACGAAAACGTTCCAAGCTGAGGTCCCAGTGTGTCATAATATGACTGACTTCTGATCAGAAAAAAATTTCTCTAGTTCTGACAGCATTGGAAATGTAGACCATAGGGTAATGGTTCCACTTTACACCCTGTGTGAGTATTGTTCTGCGGACTTTTTCAGAGTGTTCTAGCTCTCTTTGAAGCCGATGAAATATCACATCTGATATCGAAAACCGCATGAAGATCAGTCAATTTTTCAAAGAAATACAGGTCATTAAAATAGAGTCAAATTATGACTGGTCCATTCAGTGTGTTGAGAACTGTACTTGAGGAACAAGGTCGACGTGGCTGCCGCTCAGCACTGTCATGCCCAGTTTTTCACCGATTACAGTATTTATGAATATTTCCGTTGTTTTCTAAATAGACGAGCACCCGATCATCTACTGGAACCTCGTGTGGGCTTTCGAAAGGATCAACGTGCAAACGCACCTGCCCAACCTCTACTTGAGGAACAAGGCCGATGTGGCGGGGGCGGAGAACGAGAGAAGGTTGGAGGGGGGTGGCAGTGGCGTGGGGGGCGGGGAAAATGGCGGCGGAAAGTCGATGGAGCCGGTGGAGGAGGGCACCGATCCGCTCACCCAAGAGCTCACCGCGTTGGGTAAGTGGCAGCCTCTGGCTTGATTGCAATTGATATTAGAGGGAATAACACTTATCTCGTCCCGCAAAATCGATTGATTGATTGTCTTTATCACCACAAGAAACATTTCTGTTTATAATAGGGATACATGAATACATAAAAAAATATAATGAAGGGTTAACTACTTTGGGTAAGCTCTACGTTGGGTTAGAATAGGTTAGGTTAGGTATACGTTGGGATACTTCTACGTTGGGTCACCTTTACGTTGGGTTAGCTCAATGAATTCCACTCAGTGGAAACAAATTAATATTGTTTCTAAAGATGAAAGTTATAACATCTCATTTCTGAGTAATCAAATCATGCCAAATATTTTTTTCATTCAAATTGTCCTGAGCAAATATTTTTCAAGATTGATTTCAAACCTTTTTGCATCATGTATATTTTTTAACTCATTTGGTAATGAATTGTATAAAATTATTCCATTGTGAAATACAGATTGTTTGCTAATGTTTGACTTGAATATATTTGATATCAAGTAATTCAATTGTCTAGTCCCAGAACTATGGACTGTATTGACTTAATTAAAAGCTAAATTTGATATTTTCAATTTATCCCTGGCAAAATGAATAAAACAACATATTTTAACTTTATATTCGTTATATGATATATCGATTATGAGTGTTGAAATAAAAAATGTTTAGTCAATCACCCTGATTCAATGATTTGAAAATCCGAAAAGTATAAAAAAAAAGTTTTTCATTGGAATATATTTTTTCTTCTTTCAAGCTATACCAAAGGAAACAAGTAAGTGAAGCCAGGTTTCAAACCGTCATAGCCATTTGAATTTTCAAGGTTGAATGTTTGATTATTATATCATCTGAGAATTTTTTAAACTTTATGGTTATTTGGTCCAGTTCGGCTACCTGTTCCACAATTCTAAGACAAAAATTCTTATGAAGCAAGAAACAAAACTCAAAATTTCAAACTACACATATTCTAGTTTTTATTGCAAAAGTTATAGGATGATCATGACGGATCTAAATCAGTGTCTTTTCCAGTGGAAACCCTGTATTTCCCGTCATGTCTTGTTCGTATAATATTAAATAAAATTCATTAAGCTTTTTTGATGACATAATCTGTTGGTCCAAGACAAAACATTCAACTTTTGAATTCAAAGTGTTTATACAGAGGAGTGCCAAATTGTACGTGAACACCCTGTATTTTAGCTGTGTCGGATGCTAATGGACCCTTCATATCTTCCAGATTATTTAGGGGAGAACCGCTATGAAGTGGACACTTTGAGAAAAAAAACAGAATCAAAATTTTATAGACCATTAAATTATTCAAAACTGCATGAGCGGAAAGTTCCATCAATATGTTTGTAAAATAAACTGAAAAAAAAATTCAGACGACTTCATGGTCTGAGTAATATTCAAATTCGAAAAAAGTTGCTTTCGTCCATTTCAAAACATCGATGTATTGAAACGGACAGTGAAGGTTTTGAAGAGGACAGTAGTGGTTTTGAAAAATATTCGCAAGTTTCATGTGCCCATGAAAACCATAAGGAACACTGTAACCAGTCTGTCTTGCTACGCTGATATGCTTCCTTGCAACAAACACAGTTATCTTATTTAATCGCAGTATTGTCGTCTTTGCTTCGAGTATTAGGGTTTTTGTTCTCCTTTGGTATGAATTGGTGTTGTTTATTGTTGGGTTTAGATTTTGGAAGTCGGGAATGTTGACTCAGCGGAACTTCATCATCAGAATCAGACGTCCGCTTCCCGCTTCAACACAGCGTCTGATGTCCACTTCAAAACAACACACGGTTAACCTCAAAATGACATTACGAAAATTAAATTGAGAAATATTCCACGAGATCTACGTCTACATTTATGTACTAAAGTAACTTATTTTCAAACCCATCAATCTGAAATTGACTTAATTTTAACAGCTCACCTGTGACATAGTTCACTATTTTCACAAATTATTTACTTTTTCACATGATAATAATAGCATGCATGCTGGCGCGCAATTTCGGTCGTAGTGGGATCTGGGTACAGGGTTGCCATATGATGTGAATGTGAAATATGCGGTCATGCAAACACATAGCAACTACGACAACTGTCGCGTTTCAAGACCCGTCCATTTCATAGCGGTTTCCCCCTACATACTAGACAAATTTTTTGTTTTCCAAACAGATTCAAAAAAATTTTCAATATTGAGAATATTTTCTGATTGTTCTTAGCACAAATGGCTGCTCAAGTCAGGCTGAGGTGCCTCTGGGACGAACCTGGGCTCCATTCTGAAGGCCTGCCCATGTACTTACAATGGAAAGTGAGAGATACCGCTCAAATGACTTCTGGCGGCAGAAATCTCATAACTAAATCGTAAGTTACAGCTCGACAATTATTTTGTTGCTTTCTAACGTAATCTACCAAAATTATATAGAAAATGTATTTATTTACAAGCTAACGTCATTGAAGGTTGGGAAGTGTCACATTACACACCTTTACTTCCCGCCCTCGCTATTTATTTATTAATTCTGATCAAAATATGATGGTTGTAAATAAAATAGTATTAATCTTGTGTGTTACGTATAGGCGATGATGTAATTCCATTTAAGAACAGCACAAAAAATCTAGGGTTAATATTCGATTATAAACTTCGATTCAAAGAACATGTCAAGCATATGCTGAAGAAATGCTATTCTAATTTGAAAATGATTTACCCTCTTAGGCACTCTCTTGAACAAGATATCAAAAAAATGCTTTGTGAGTCATTGGTGTTATCCCAGCTGCGATACTGTCTACGGACCTTGCTTAGATGTTGTTGATATAAAACGCATTCAAAAAGTTCAGAATTCCTGCTTAAGACTCATTTTTGGTATCAGCAGACGAAATAGGATTTCTCATAAATTAAAAGTTGTTAATTGGCTGAACATGCTTAACAGACGTAAATTGCACATGGTTTGCAGCTACTACAAAGTGCTAAAAACAAAAAAGCCGGAATACCTGTATAATAAAATCTCTTTCAGAAGTGATATTCATAACTTGAATATTCGTCACTCTAGGCTTATTACTGTGCCTAGACATAGGAAAGAAATTTATAAAAGAAGTTTCTCTTACAACATCGCCAATCTTATTAATGCTCTTCGTGTCACAGATTTCAGTCGTTCACTTAAATCATTTAAAAGTATGGTAACGAAACAATTGCTTCAACTCCAGAATTTCTGTTTCATTTTTGGTAACAATATATGAGATTGAATCGTTTCTATTTATTTTTAGTGATCCTCCTGCTGTGCATACTTGTCTCTTTCCTTCTTTTCCCTCTTCTTTTCCTCTCTCACTCTTCTTCTTAACTCATCATATACTATACTAATGCTCTTAGGTTCTTTAGCCGTTAGATTTATAGTTTCTTGTTAGGTTTAGGTCTGGCCAGAATGGAAGAACAGTTTCAATCTACTTGGTAGAATGTAACTGAACTCTGGCCATTTATTCGCCACATTAAGTATGCTTTACCTACAACCTTATACTTGTCATTGTTTTTGGGGAATAATAAACGTATTATTATTATTATTATTAAAAGATTCTAAATGAAGGGCATCGTAGATAGACACAAGTTCAACACTTAATCACATTTTTACATTTTTATTCACTCATGATGGCTTGTACAAAGATGACCGTTTATAAAACACAACATCGACAAGTGATTCGTTCTACGATATTAATCGACTGAACCTGCTTCAGTCTTTTATCACACGATGATTACGAATACCGATGAGTCGTCGAGGCCGCTTGTGATAAGGCATTCCTTAGGCGTTCTTCCGTTACCACCGATACAACAAGGCCTGCGTGCTCCGTGGGTGACGTCACTTAGTGAGGCCTAACCAGCGGCTCGAAACGACAAGCGCTTATAGCGCTATAAGGCGACCGCGTATTTCGATTTTAGTTTTAGATCATCATTGAGCCGATTTTGCTGTTTTTTGAAGGGCTTCCGGTTAAAAAAGGATTCCTGTCGTCAACTGAGCCCTTCTTCGCACCCCATTCGATTTTATTATGGAAAAACGGAGTTTTAAAGCAAAAACCAGGATAAAACACAAATATCCACCTACAGCAACCCATTCGAATTAAATATATTGGCAAAAATTGTGGTGAAAGTAAACTTCACACCTACTTATACAGGGCCCGCAGAACATAAACTTATCGTGAGATTGATCGAAAGAAAATTGTGGAAAATGTATTTTATTTTTATTGACATGCCGTTTGTTACAATTTATCTTGGAGAATTCCTATTACCTGAAAAAATAACCAGTGAGTGTTTTCAATTTTCTGTTGTTGGATTTTTCACCCAAGTGGATCGTTACACTTGAAACCGTAATTTTTAAGGGTAAAACTGCAATTATCATGCGATGGTTTTTTTTTCGAAAATTTGTTTTGGTACTCACGTATTTTTGTCTGATAAACTGAATTTTGTAATGAAAATGTGAACAAACCACTATTTATTGAGATATTTCAAGAAAAAGTTCGAAATTTCGCCTTCTTTCTCCCCTTGTGTTGGGGGCATTTGAAGCTACTTGCTCTTATTTTGTCATTGGACACTTTATATACTCATGATGTACTTCGATGGCACATTTTTATATAGAAAATTCAACAGGAAATATGATTTTTATGGCGAGTTTTTCATATTTAGTGAACAAGCATTCCAGATGACGACTATTTAATCAATAGTCAATCAAAATACGAGATGTCAAATGTCAATAGATTGCTTTCGAATGACATTACACACGCCATTATTTTGAATAATATTCTTCCTTCTTTTCACTAAATATGGATTAATCTCAAGAAAATCATATTTATAGTTGAATTATATATAAATTGTCCAATATGATGAAAAAAGAAGGGAAATTTGTTCTGCATGCCATCCAGAAGACAGGTGAAAAAGAAGGTGAAATTTGGAACTTTTTAGTCAAATATCTTCATGATAAATATCATGATAAATGCAGTTTCACCTTTTGAAGTAGAGTGCTGACAGGTTATGGTTTTGTTATTTATGCATTGAAATATCTCGAATAGAGCTCGATCCTAAACAAAAATATCATTGAATCAATGAATCACTATCGGCTACATTCAATGATACTATCGTTCCTAATTTACTACCATCGGTCAGAACAGAAAGAAGCCGACACCCATGGCTCCTTCCTCTTGTTGTGCCTGTCAGTATTTTGAGTGGTGTTGACGGACTCGTATTAGGCGCTGTTGCAAGATATAATCTGCAACTTTCCTAGAAAATTGATCCATTTTATTAAGGAACGAATTTATTAGCAAAAGAATGACTGGCAAGTTATGAAAAGCATGTTGTAATATAACGATAGTGGAAAATTATAGATACTATCGCAAAATATCATAATTTATCTTTATTAGTAATCAACTTCATTCAGCCAATGAGAGATTTTTTTTTGGAAATTATTCATAATATTTGACAAAGTAGGATTGAACAACCTATTATATCCCATTGCTGTTATGATATAGATATTATGCAAAAAAGTTTGGCATTTTGTAATATAACGATAGTGGAAAATTATAGATACTATCGCAAAATATCATAATTTATCTTTATTAGTAACTTCATTCAGCCAATGAGAGATTTTTGGAAATTATTCATAATATTTGACAAAGTAGGATTGAACAACCTATTATATCCCATTGCTGTTATGATATAGATATTATGCAAAAAAGTTTGGCATTTCATCTCTGTTGGCAGGTTATAAAATGTCACTTTTCATAAATTACTTTTTTCCCGGATATATATCACATATATATACACTGTTGATGGCTTCTGTTGTGCTATAGTTCCGAAAAATGAGTCAATAATACCGTCTCCGAGAAAGAACTGCAAGTCCTTTTATCTTCCATTCGACTTCGCGGTTACGTATATTACTAAACAACCACTAAATTCGCAATTTTTTGAAATAAAATCACAGAATTAGACTGACAGAAGTGACATCAGGTATTTGATTACTTCAAAAGAATGATAAAGATGCCTACAACGCAGGTGTCCCTACTGTTAAAAACTTGAAATTTCACATCGATAATTTTCAGATTTAAAAATAATGTAACATCTCCTCAATATTGATTCGTCCTTTCTTCTGTCAGAGAAAAATGGTGTATTATACACGGGAAAAATATTAGATTTTAGCTCACGGTTTTTTGTATCCTTCCGCTACGCGTCGGGAGACAACACAAACTGGAGCTAAACTACTACTTTTTTCCCTTGTATAATAAATAAATATTTTAATATAATTATTAGGTTATTTCATTATTATAGTTTTTTATCAACTTTCTCATATCCGAATTCAATTTCTGACTGGAATCTATTTTCCCAATAAACATTGATAACGAGACTCGCAACTGACCTGCGCAATCCGGACCTTTTCCAGGTTCATGCAGCAAATCATAAACTACATCCGCGTCAGCGACTTGGCCGAGCCGGTCCGAACGTTGGCCAACGACAGAAAGGAGACGGACGTCGACCACGGGCGCAACTCGATATACCGCGACATCCTGTTCCTGGCGTGCCGGGTTCTAGGCAGAGAGCAAATAGACATCAACGCGTTCGACAAGGAGTACGCTGCCGCGTACGCGCGCCTCGTGGACAGACAAAAACTGTTGCCGCAGGACAGGCCGATCAGTTTGTCCGCCCTGTATTGCAGGCAGTACTTCCGGCCGCTGACGTTGTCCTGAATGGTTCGATGGGCGGGTTTTTACTCTCGGGGTATACTTGCGGAAGCGTATTTTCACCGTATACAGGGTGTTTAAAAAAAACGTACCCCCTTGCTAGGGTAGGTAGAACACTGCAAAATAAGTTGAGTTTGCTCAGTAAAAAAATGTCGTAACGACAGGTGTTGAAAAATTGATTTATCCACGACTGTTGTTAAAATATTCATAATACATGTACTTCCTCAAGCAAAACGGTAGCCATTTTTCACACCATCAATACCACCACCAACAATAGCAGTGAATAACCAGACTTCACTGGTCTAGAGTTCCTAGGGTACGCGATATAACATATAAGGAACTTTAGACCAGTGAATAATGGTTATTCACAGCAATTATTCACTGGTGTGAAAAATAGCTATCGTTTTGCATGAGGAAGTACAACACTCGTAGACAAATAATTACTATAACAGGCATCTTCAATTTTTAGTTTTTTACGATTATATCGAAATTACTGGCAACAGTGTGATGAAATTTTGTATTGATGTGTTTTACAAGCTGATACATTGCATGTAATTGTTTTTATATCTTATACTCAAAGAGGGCGCTAGTTACATAGTTCGTACAGAGTAGTTTTGAACATGAAACTTTTCTGAGGTTAAACTTTTCAGAAATGTACTGTTGATGAAACTCAATACTGTGTACCGTTTTCGGAATATTTTGACTTGAAGATAATGGAGTAATAGCTGATACTGATATAAAATGAGTATTTTTGAGATCAATTACCTATTTATTCAAATTCAAAAACATTCTTGTGCTCAAGTTAATGTCCTCCGTTTCTAGGATACACGATCCTACCTTTTTAATTTTAATGCCTTTTTTTTCTCCTCAAACGGTTGAGGATCAGCTGTTAGGTCATTCAAGTGATGTTCAATTTTGTCTTGCAACTCTTGACGTGAATTTACCTCTTTAGATATACGTTTTCCTTAAGGTAACAGCAAACTGTGTAATCCATGTTTTAGTAAAATTTATTTCAATGTTATTCTTGTGATTCCTGAAGTCCAGCATTAGAAATATATCATTGTTTTCGATTTCCAATAAATAGTTTATAGTTTTTCATGATACTCAAATACATAGTTTCATACCAGCAACAGTTATCACTTCATTTTCAATTCAAATTATTCCGGAATTGGTACACAGTATCGAGTTTTTGAATTGAATTTGGAATTGAAAGTTCACATTGTAGTGGATTGCGTGCAAGAATTGTCAGATGACCGACCCTGGAGGTGAAACATTGAAACACAACCTCACTTTTTTTATTTGTTTACAAATGATTGAAATAGTTTTTCACAATTATTTTGGCATACGAATCGTGTTTTTCGGCTATTCATTAATTCGCGAATGCCATCTCATTGTGCTGTTGTACAATGCACAAAAAATGCAGCGGGAGACCAAGGAAGCTGGATGGTACATTATGATTTAAAAGTAAGTACCTACTATAGTCACTCACATATAGTTTTCATTTTTGAAATTCGGTGATTTCTCTGATTTCTCCTCGGAATTCCTTCTGAAATGGGAGCTAATAGAAATACTCGTAAAATTTCTAAAAGAATGCAAGAAGATTGAATTCAAGCAATCAAACGGGAGGACTGGTCTGACATGCTGACGAAATATGATCGTGTGTGTTGTAGACATTTTCAATCTATAAGCAGTATTAGCTTCTATTGCAGTGGCAAAAGGAATTCTAATTAGAAATGACAAAATTTCATAATGAAAACTATGTGGGATTACAATTTACCTGAAAAATTAACTTCCTTCGTCTCTCGCTGCATTTTTTGTGCATTGTACAACAGCATAATGAGAAGGCATGCTTGAATCAATGAATAGCGCAAAAAACACGATTCGTATGCCAAAATATTGCCTTTGATTCCTCTGTAAACAAATGAAAAGAGTGAGGTTGTGTTTCAATGTTTTGCAGAAAAGTGAGGTTGTGTTTCAATGTTTCACCTCCTGGGTCGATCATCGTGCACGCGGACTATGGATTGAAAGATCTAACCTCCAAAAAAAGTTAGGTTAAAATCTACTCGGTACGAATCGTGTAACTAGCGCCCTCTACAAATTCTTGCGACTTTTCAGGTTTTAAAACGTATCCATATAAAATGTCATTACAATGTTGCCAGTAGTTTCGACATAATCGTAAAAAAAGTGTAAAAATATATTGTTCACAACACCTTGTATCTCGAAAACGGATGTCGAAATTTTTATACTGAGCAAACCCAACTTATTTTGCAGTGTTCTTCCTACCCTAGCAATGGAGTCACTTTTTTTTGAAACACCCTGTAGAGAAATGTCAACTTGTGATTTTGAAGTATGTTTTATGTTCAATGTGTTCACCTTCCGACTTACAGATAGCACGTTGGGAAGGTTTATCAGAAAAAATAAAGACAGAACTTCTGAATTCAGAAAATTTGGAGATCAACAAATCTATCAGACGTCATAACTACTGGAAAATCAGGTGTATGAATGGGATTTGGTATAGGAAATGGTATATGAAGAGGAGAGTTTTCACATTTTTTTATATTCGGACACTTCCATTTTCACCGGAAAAAATCAGTAATAACTTAGTACCTTTGCAGTTCAAAACTTGTTGAATGTGCTTACTACTCCTAACAATCAAGATTTATGAAAATGAGGTTTTGATGGGGTAGTCCTTGAGGTGGATACACTGTATATGATTGATTATATGTTTTGGTGTTTACTACACATTTTGAAATTTCACCTCAGCATGTAAAAAATTTCATCGAATTTGTTGAAATTTCAAGATTTTGACCATCCTGAAATTGCAACTTGATATTTTTTTATGACTCCATAATACGCTTTGGAAGTTACCTTCTCGGTAATGATTTGTTATTTTTAAATTCTAATTTCGACACTTTCTGAGGCATTGTTTAGTTTTGTTTAATTTATATTAGGAATATTCGTTTTAAGTTTAACATTATTAAAGGTATGCTGTGAAATAAAATTATTGTTAATTTCTCAGATATTCTGACTGATTTCTTCCTCTGTCCAAATTATTAATCAGAAGCCATAAGAAACATAATAACCCTCCTGAGAAATCTTATGGTTTTTCTGTTTTTTTGTGTGTCTTGTAAAATTTTAGGCATCTGTTTGAAAGGCTCAAAAAATGGGTAGGTATGTGAAGACCCTCTTTTTTTTCAATTGCATTTCCTCGTTGGACCCAGCACTGGATCCAACGCCCCATAAGTCGAAACTTGTGCGGGGTTAGGAAAGCATAAATTTACAAACATCCATGGCCTAACTGGGATTCGAACCCATGCCTCGGTGGGAGTCCCCATACGAACTCAGCGCTTTCGCGATCTCGACCACCGGGCTCTTTATATACAGTCTGTCCAAGATAAGGTTGCACAGCATGGAGATCTCGGAAACGGTAGGAGATACGAAGTCGGTTAAATGGGGAAAAAGTTGCGCATTTGGAGGCTCATACCAACAGCCTTCGAAAATTTTCGAAATTTCCTTTAGTTTTTCAGTTATATCGAAAAAAGTGAATTTTTGGAATCTCTATTTTATTTTTTTTCTCCGTAATTATTTGAGATACAGGAAAACTGATAATACTTTTTCGTAGCAACTTTTGATGACGTTTAACGTGGTGATACCGATTTTTCTATGCGACGTTTCGTATTCGTAGAACCATCATCAACTTTTGTTTTTTAAATACGGCCCTGATAATTCTTCCACATATTCTGAAAGCTTTTTTTATTCTGAATTCAACCATGTATTATACAAGGTGGTTTGAATGTGTTTCGAACTATTTTTAGCCATCATCAATGTTTTTTTTCGAAATTCCAAAGGAAAAATGCCATCAGTTCCACTTATCTTGAAGGAAAATTAGCCAACAAACTAATACCTCATCAACTAGTTCCAATTGATAGACTTATAGGAATAATTAGTTCGAAAAATTTTATTATGACAAGCTCCTTCGGATTAAAACAATTCGAAGCGCTGCATTGAATAATTTAGTGGATTTTTTTTCACTTTTCAGTATTGAATAACTAGTCCATCAATGTTTGACACTGAATTATCAGAAATAAGTGAGACTGATGGCATTTTTCCTTTGGAATTTCGAAAAAAACATTGATGATGGCTAAAATTAGGTCGAAACACATTCAAACCACCTTGTATAATACATGGTTGAATTCAGAATAAAAAAGCTTTCAGAATCTGTGAAAGAATTATCAGGGCCGTATTTAAAAAACAAAAGTTGATGATGGTTCTACGAATACGAAACGTCGCATAGAAAAATCGGTATCACCACGTTAAACGTCATCAAAAGTTGCTACGAAAAAGTATTATCAGTTTTCCTGTATCTCTAATATTTACGGAGAAAAAAAAATAAAATAGAGATTCCAAAAATTCACTTTTTTCGATATAACTGAAAAACTAAAGTAAATTTCGAAAATTTTCGAAGGCTCTTGGTATGAGCCTCTAAATGCGCAACTTTTTCCCCATTTAACCGACTTCGTATCTCCTACCATTTCCGAGATTCCCATGCTGTGCAACCTTATCTTGGACAGACTGTATAGTGATTCATGAAACAAGTGTGTAAAGTGGTACTTTGTTCTACGAGTGGGAAATGTTGTTTTGAGCAAGAAAAAACACTTGACGCACGTGTTACATCCACAACATTCTACAACTGTCAAAAAGAGGAAAACCTCATTTACTCATTCCATGTCACGTTATTGGTAATGCCTGGTTTCTAAGGACGAAATAGCCAGAGCCGCCTTCGGCTAATTTGAATAAATCGCTTATCCCTCTCGCGTCCAGCGATGCTTATCGAATGATATTTGAGATGGGAACATATCATCTAGTACGCGGGGATATCGTCGCGCCTTGTTCCCGTTCCCATCACAATTTCACATTTCACTACCACTCCATACGAAATACAAAGTCAGCCGCCTTGATTTGTTCGCTTGCTGAATCCCGTAAAGGAGCCCATAGACTGTGTTGTTGGTGGGCTGTTTTGTTCGTCCAACAAGTATGTTTGAACAAAAATAACGCAAAACCGAAGTGTGTGATGTGTGGCAAGCGAAAACTACCATTTTGCAGCTACACACTTCGGTGTTGCGTCATTTTTGTTCCAACAGACTTGGTGCTACCAACAACGCAGTGTATGTGCCCCTTTCACACTTTCGTAAAATCATGAAACAGTATTTTGAAATTGAAAAAGTGTACACTTCAGGCACAAAAAATACACTCACCGGCAAAAATAACCGGCCACCAAAAAAATAAGCCCTGTAACTTTTTTGATTCTTGTCCGATTTTGCTAAAATTTTGACCAAATTTTATATTCATGTTTCAGGTTGTTGGTCTGAATATTAGTTTCTAAGAGAAGCTGGTGGCTCGATACTTATACAGGCAAAAACAAAAGTTACTCTTTCACCCCCAACTTCTCAACACCCTGTGGCAAAGTTGAGTAGTTAAACTTAACTTTATCATATTTTCGAGTGATGTGCGATCCCTTCTTAACACAATGTTTTTTGATTCACGTTGATAACCACTTCTCAAAAGAAGATACAAGGGTTTTAAGAAAGTATGGATTTTTTTTTCTTATTAAGAATATTTTAGAACCACTCCAACCTTTTGCTTCATCATGTTCCGAATTGAAGTGTGATCCTATTTCGACCCTTCTTAACACAATAGTTCCAGATTTACGTCAATATATCATTTTCAAGAGAAGATACAAGTGTTTCAAGAAAGTATGGAATTTTTAAATTTTAAACAATAATTCAGAACCAATACAGCATCTTAGGGATGAACTCCAGAAACTCATTCGTCTTCGTACTCAGAGACTCTTCAAGAGCTATGATTCGCCCTTCAATGAAAATTCTCTCGGCAATTCTTCATGACTACTTCAGGAATTTGATCATCTCGATGCTACAGCGGTTGAATGCTGTAATTCAAACTCGAGGAGGGCATACTCGTTATTGATTGAAAATCTAAGTTCCTAAGTTGTTAACCAATACGTATATGTAGGTTCTGATTATTGTGAATAAGAATTGAACAATTCCATACTTTCTAAAAACGCTGGTATCTT